TTCTAGCCTTGTAGGTTATGTACCTCTTGTCCCAAACTACTTTCAGGATTTTCTCTTTGTCTCTGTGATTTGTAACTTTCACTATTATATGTCGAGGTGTTGACCTATTTTTATTGATTTTGAGGGGGGTTCTCTGTGCCTCCTGGATTTTGATGCCTCTTTACTTCCCCAGATTAGGGAAGTTCTCTGTTATAATTTGCTCCAATATACCTTCTGCCCCTCTCTCTCTTTCCTCTTCTTCTGGGATCCCAATTATTCTAACATTGTTTCAGTTTATGATATCACGTATCTCTCAAATTTTCCCCTCATGATCCAGTAGTTATCTCTCTTTTGTTCAGCTTCTTTATTCGCCATCATTTTGTGTTCTATATCACTAATTTTCTCTTCTGCCTCATTTAGCCTAGCAGTTAGAGCCTCCATTTTTTATTGCATCTCATTAATAGCCTTTTTGATTTTGACTTGGTTAGATTTTAGTTCTTTTATTTTTCCAGAAAGGGATTCTCTAGTGTCTTCTATACTTTTTTCAAGTCCAGCTAGTATCTTTATAACCATTAATCTGGGGGTGCCTGGGTTGCTCAGTCAGTTACACGTCTGCCTTTGGCTCAGGTCATGATCCCAGGGTTCTGGGATCAAGTCCCACATCAGGCTCCCTGCTCAGTGGGTAGCCTGCTTCTCCCTCTGCCTGCCACTCCCCCTCCTTGTGTGCTCTCTTGCTCGCTCGCTCTCTCTGACAAATATGTAAATAAAATATTTAAAAATAATAATGATAATCATTCTGAACTCTAGTCTGACATCTTACTTATGTCCATACTGATTAGGTCCCTGGCAGTTAGTACTGCCTCTTGTTCTCTTTTTCGAGGTGAGTTTTTCCATCTTGTTATTCTGTCCAGAGAAGAATAGATGAATGAGAGAATAAAATACTAAAATGGCAACAATGACCCCGGAGAAATGTACATTAAACAAATCAGAAGAGAGTCAAAACCAAAAAAAAAAAAAAAAAATTAAAAAAAAAAGAATGTAATCAGAATAAAGCAATACACTGGATCCTGTGTGTATTTTGGTCTGTTTGTTAGAAAACTAGATCCCAAGATTGTAAAGAAAGAAAAACTTATATATGTACAAAAATAAAATTAAATACATTGAAAGGACAAAATATATCTGTCAAAATGAAAATTAAAAGACGAAAAAAAAAAGGAAGGGATATAAACAGACTAGTGAACAGAACAGAGCGATACCCTATATCCTGAGTGTATTTTGGCCGGTTTGTTAGAAGAAACTATATCTCAAAACTGTAAAGAAAGAAAAACTTATGGGGAGCCTGGGTGGCTCAGTCATTAGGCGTCTGCCTTCGGCTCTCATGATCCCAGGGTCCTGGGATTGAGCCCTGCGTTGGGCTCCCTGCTTGATGGGAAGCCTACTTCTCCCTCTCCCACTCCCCTTGCTTGTGTTCTCTCTCTTACTGTGTCTCTCTCTGTCAAAATAAATAAAAAAATAAAATCTTTTTTTTAAAAAAAAGAAAAACTTACATATATACAAAAATAAAATTAAATATATTGAAAAGATAGAATGTAACTGTAAAGATGAAAATTTAAAAAGACTTTAACAAAACAAAAAAAAAAGGAAGAAGGTAAAAAGAGAGAGAATATGATCAGATAGGTGAATAGGACAAAGCCATACACTAGAGGTTGGGTGTACTTTGGTCTGTTAGAAGAAACTGCATCCTGGGCGCCTGGGTGGCTCAGTTGGTTAAGCGACTGCCTTCGGCTCAGGTCATGATCCTGGAGTCCCTGGATCGAGTCCCGCATCGGGCTCCCTGCTCAGCAGGGAGTCTGCTTCTCCCTCTGACCCTCCCCCCATCTCATGTGCTTTCTCTCTCATTCTCTCTGTCTCTCAAATAAATAATAAAATCTTTAAAAAAAAAAAAAAAGAAACTGCATCCCAAAATTGTAAAGAAAGAAAAACTTATACATAGAAAAATAAAATTAAATATAATGAAGGGATAGAATGTAACTCTAAAAAGGAAAATTTAAAAAGATTTAAAAAAAGAATTGCTAAAATAAGAAATTGGCTGAAAAAGAAAGGGGAAAAATTTTTTGAAAAATTTAAACTGAAAGACTAAACAATCATGGGGGGAAAGCCATAGATTCTATGTGCTGTATTCCCCTAGCGCTGGAGTTTTGCAGTTCTCATTGACCAGTAAACTTGGTCTTGGTTGGATGTTTTTGCTGATCTTCTGGAGGAGGGCCGGTTGCCTCGATTCTCAAGTGTCTTTGCCCCAGGCAGAATTGTACTGCCCTTACCAGGAGCCAGGCTAAGTAATCTGCTCAGGTTTGCTCTCTGTGGCTTTTGTTTCCTGAAGGCTTTCCACGCAGCTTTAGAGGATGGGAATGAAAATGGTGGCCTCCCAATCTCCAGCCTGGCCCGGAGCTGAAAGCTTGGGGCCCCACTCCTCAGTGAGCCCTCAGAGAAAAGCAGCCAATCACTCCTGTCTCCCTGGTCTCCAGCCACACTCCATGCTCACCCAGCCTGTGACCAAGCGGTCCTATCTCAGGCACATGACCCCATTTGGAGTCTCCAAACCCTGCAGACTCCTGCGTCTTGCTCCCACACTTCTCCTCCCTGGGGAGGAAGGGGCTTCTCACTGGTTCTGCCGCTTGGTGGGCCCCTGCTCGGAGAGCAGTCACCCAGCTATGCCGCAGTTTAAGGTTTATGGCAACCCGGAGCTGAGAGCCCACTCCTGGGCTTGCTGATTTCAGCTGGCTTCCCCACTCTGATGCCTGAGAATTCTGCCGCACTGAGGCACCGCTGGTCTTTCTGTGACCCCAGGGATCCTGAGACCACAGTCCCTGCTTAGGCACCCGCTCACCTTTCAGGCCAGGAAGTCCCTCACTGGAGCAGACTTCTAAAAGTTCCGATTTTGTGCTTGGCTGCTATATCACTTGCCTGTAGCTAGCTTTCAGAGGCTCTCTCCCCCCGTGGTTTATCTTCCCATATATTGCCCTGTATTCACTTCTCTGCACCTCTTACCTCACAGAAAGTGGTCGCTTTTCTATTTGTGGAGTTGCAGCTGTTCTTTTCTTAGATCTCTGTTTGAGTTCGCAGGTGTTCAGAATGATTTGATTGCTATCTAGCTGAATTCCTGGGACCAGACAAAACTAAGGTCTCCTAATCCTCTGCCATCTTGGACATTCTTTCTCAAATAAATAAATTTTTAAAAATCACATTTGTTAATATCACCACCAATCTTATTAAAAATTTTTTTAGGTATTGAGAACCTATCAAGTCATGATGTGGATAGAAGTTTTTCTAAATTTAAATTTTTGTTTGAAACCTTGAACTCTACCATTAAAACATCTATTGTCAATTGTTTTCTTAAGATAACAGTCTCACAGTGGCGCCTGAGTGGCTCAGTCGTTAAGAGTCTGCCTTTGGCTCAGGTCATGATCCCAGAGTCCTGGGATTGAGCCCCGCATCAGGCTCCCTGCTCCACTGGAAGCCTGCTTCTCCCTCTCCCACTCCCTCTGCTTGTGTTCCCCTCTTGCTGTGTCTCTCTCTGTCAAATAAATAAACAAAATCTTTAAAAAAAAAAAAAAGATAACAGTCTCACTTTGTTCATTTTCAAGAAGATGCTTCCCAAATACCAAACTCTGAATAACTAGATTTTGTCCATTTTTGCGAGTGAAAATGGTATTCATGAAAAAGCAGCTAGTTTGCTTAACTCAAACAATCATACAAGTTCTTTTCCTCAAGAAATCATTGTATTTTCATATGCAACTGACATGCTTTATACAAACTTCTCAATTCATTATACAGAATATTAAAAAGGTGTGTTCTCAAGGGTTAAGATTTAATAAAATCAGTACCTTTTGCTGCATTATCAAGAACACTCTTTTTTTTTTAAGATTTTATTTATTTATTTGACAGCGAGAGAGGGAACACAAGCAGGGGGAGTGGGAGAGGGAGAAGCAGGCTTCCTGCGGAGCAGGGAGCCCAACGCAGGGCTCGATCCCAGGACCCTGGGATCATGACTTGAGCCGAAGTCAGACGATTAACGACTGAGCCACCCAGGTGCCCCTATCAAGAACATTCTTAAGTGAAACTGACATTCTTTTACTACAAGTATGTACAATGAAGAACACAATGACTGCTAGTACATTTGTTGCCATGGCCTTGATTCATGCAAAGATGCCTGCAGTTTCACCCACTCCTGCTTTTGCACCACCAGTGCAGACATCAAAAGTGTAAAAGGCAAAGGGTATTGGGTGACTCCCGAGGTCCCTGGACCACACATTGAGAACTGTGGCTCTAATCCATCTCAACCTTCTACTCAGTGCAAGAGAACTAGGTCTGAAAGAAGGAAAACTGACCTCTAGGATGGAGCTGACTTCAAACAAAACATTCCATTCACCATAACACTCTAAAGATTTTTAATAGCTCGGGGCGCCTGGGTGGCTCAGTCGGTTAAGTGTCTGCCTTCAGCTCAGGTCATGATCTCAGGGTCCTGGGATCAAGCCCCACATTGGGTTCCCCTCTTGGTGGGGAGTCTGCTTCTCCCTCTCTGTTTGCCCCTTCCCCCATTCATGCTCACTCTCTCCCTCTCTCTCCTCAAAATAAATAAATAAAATCTTAAAAAAATATGTTTTTAATAGCTTATGAAATAAAAAAGTTATATTAATTGAACGGATATATACTTAAAGCTTGAAATTTTTTGTTATATGTTCCTGTAGATTGAAAATATAATAAAAATTTTAGAATAGAATATGAAAAATTATTGGGATTCCATACACCAAATCTTTGTTTAGGAATTTTATACAGGGGCACCTGGCTGGCTCACTCAGTAGAGCATGCAACTCTTGATCTCAGGGTTATGAGTTCAAGCTCCACATTGGTTGTAGAGATTACTTAAAAATTTTTTTTAAATCTTCAAAACAATAGAATTTTATTTAACTTTTCAAGTCTCATTATCTTCATCTGAATCTAAATTCTGAATTTTCCTACAGAAGATGAAAAGATTGATTTGGATACGTTGATGGAAGCAGCTAGTGCTTTTACAGGTGAGTGAGAACTTATATAAGACATCATAAAATTGAGATTTTTTTTTTAAGATTTCATTTATTTGACAGAGAGAGACACAGCAAGAGAGGGAACACAAGCAGGGGGAGTGGGAGAGGGAGAAGCAGGCCTCCCACAGAGCAGGGAGCCCAATGTGGGGCTCGATCCCAGGACCCTGGGATCATGACCTGAGCTGAAGGCAGAAGCTTAACGACTGAGCCACCAGGTGCCCCATAAAATTGAGATCTTGATGCCTTATAGAGAAATACCTTTTTAAAGCAGTTGTTTACCCCCTCCATCCATCATTAATAAGTTTGCTTTGCTATTTTACCTATTTATTGATGATTTTGTCTTACTGACAATAATTTAGATCATTAGAGATTTACAAGTGTGGGCACTTTCAAATATTTTGGCCAGTAATGTGTTCGTTTCTCTAGTGTTCAAAGAATCAAAATATATGTGAACACAGTGGATTTCAATGTGAAGTTTTTGCATCAGGAAATATGGTCACTATGAATGGTCAGTCCCATAATTCAGGTCATGAAGCAGTAACAGAGATACTACTTACCAGTACAATTATGTATATTCTATATGGCAGCATAAGTCATTGGGCAGTTATACTCCATGCTATATTGACCCATATACAGAATAGGAGTATTAACTTCTTATTTTGATTAGAGAAACTTTTCAGGTACTGAATTTTACAATAACTCTGTGTAAGTATGTCAGCTCATGTATTTCAACTTCATCCTGCAGTTAGAAATAATGCTGTGCGGGATTATGTTTTCATAGTTTAGAATAATTATATTTTTTAATATTGTCACCTGAAATGAATCCCATCTATTCAAAGGAGAAAAGGTTGAAGCCAATGACTTAAAAAATGTGCTGAGAAACATGGGAATTGAGACCACTGAAAAAGAACAGTTGATGCTGTTGAAAACTCTGCCAATCTCTAGTGAGTGTTTAACATGCCATCATGGTGTTCAGGGAAGTGTGGTACTGTGGGCTTCTGGGTGAGAACGGTCTAATGCTCTAAGAAACCCCCTAAGGAAAATGCAGTCCAGACAGAAGAAACCCCGTTCTTGTCACTTGTGTTTTAGTTTGGAAGTGAGAAACTTGTAAGTGAGAAATTCCTCTCTTTTCCATTCAGTCAATGGGCCCCTTGCTAAATATTTCAAATGCTACACAGCTAAATTCTTCTGTAGCCCCCTGAACGTGCCCCACATCCTCAGGCTTGGCCCTGATAGCCCTCCCATCTCCCCATAATCCAGCAACTAAAAGATAAACACCTGAGAGCAGGGGACCACCAGGACCATGTGCTTAAACTGTCAGAATTTGATTCTGATTGGTCAGTGATCCAACCAGTCCGTCCCTCAAAAATTCCACCTCCTGGGCACCTGCATATGCTCGCCCCCAGAGAAGCTAGAGGCCAGCCTATACTTCACCTGTGCCTCCTGCCCAGTCTCAGGGACCTCCATGGAGACATCCTTCCCCGCACCCTATAGAACCTGTCCCCACTTGTCCCCCGAACAAGAGCAAGCCTAACACATCATGGTGGGTGCTTGTACCCCAGATGGCAGAAGCAGCAGCCCAGGGAGCAAATGCTCAATACCCATCCAAATTCCCCTCACATCTACCTAAGGCTGTGTCCACTCACTATGTCTAGTGTTCCCCCAGATTGCTCTCAAGGGGCCAGTTATGAGAATTGCAGCATGCTTAGGATATTGGCTCTGAGGGAACAGGGTAGACATGCACAAAGAAGCAGATGGACTATAATGGAGACAGCCACATCCACATGCCAGGCACTGAGGGTTCTGTCAACGCTGTAGACACTCACTCCTTCCACGGGAAGGGGCCCTCTGGAACAGACAGCTCCTGTAGCGATGGATTGGGCTGGTAGATGTCCCTTGTTCTCTGCCCCTGTTGAATTTCCCCTCCATTTATGAAAACAGTTTGTTTGGAGAACAAAATTTATTTAAATATTGTTTTATACTACTTTTGGGTTGATAACTATTTTTAATAAAATCCCTTTATAGACTCTATGTTCAGGCTAAACCTATAGGAATACTTTATGGGCCTAGAGCATAAGCAAGAAAAAGAGAAAGACAGAGGGGACAAAGTGCTGTTAAATAAGGGAAGAATAAGAAAGAAGCATGTATGTGGGTGTATTTGTAGCCTGTATCAGCTACTGCCGTGTGGTCCAGCTAGGAAATAGATTGACCACATTGTGGGCATTCCTTTTATTATTATTTGAGGGTGAGGCCGAATAAATTTCCAGAGGAATTACATAAAATGCCTTGTAAAATTATAGAGTTCCTTATCCTTTTTCTTTTGACTTGAATTTTACCCTATCTCACAGGAGATGGAATGGTGTATAAGAAGAGATTATTGAATAGTGTGAAGCCTCTCAAAGGTAAGAATCATGAGAACAACTAAAATTTATTATGCTTTGCACTTGCTATTTTAGGTTTCTGATTAGAATCATGCTATGCCATTATTCTACTGATACAGTGACACTGAACTTATGCCTCATAACCTACCAGTCTCCTTTCAGTATAACTACATTTGAGGAAGTTATTCTTAGTAATATGCAGCAAGTTTGAGATTTTGATTTCATTTACTTTGGTTATCTTTATCAATTCATCAGACTTATCTAATTCTTTTTCAACCATGATTATACCAATTAAAAGTTATAGCACAATGTTGAGGAAGAATTTTCTCCTCTCAACTCCAACACTGACTATCCAGGTTCATTTAAATGGCCAGTGTTTCACTGCACTTACAGTGGATGTGTACTCAAGGCTAGCATCTTCTGCTTCCTGGACTTACTTGAATTATTTACATCTTCTTCTTTCCTAAGGGAAAAAAGTCAGTGTCAAGAACCTGAACACCCTTGTAAAGAACATGGGGATTCAGCTTGAGAAAGAGGACTTTCAGGACTTACTGAACCACCTGCCCATTGATGGTAAGTATTTCAGATACCACTGTACCTCAGGGCAAATCTTAGAGCTTCTATCTGAGGGCTTCTGAAAGTAAAGCTATTTTTTAATATCTTTGAAAAACGTATGAAATATTTCAAACATCTATCAAAACAGAAAACAAACACTGTAACAAACACTTGAGTACCCACTGGCTAGAATCAGTAAATGTTACCATTTTGCCATATTTCTTTCATATATCTTCCTTCCTTCCTTCCCTTCCTTGTACACTTTTTTTTAGTAAGATAAGGTTTCATTAATGACTGAATAAGACCAATTTACCTGGATAAAAATGTCACAGAGGCAAAGATAGTAGAATTCATTAGAAAGGATTTGCTAAGGGGTGAGGGCCAGGCTAAAAGTTCCTGAATTAGAGGGTTCATAGATTCAAATGCAGAGCTAGTGGCTTCCCATTAAAAACTTGATGCAAGGGGTGCCTGGTGGCTCAGCCGGTTAAGCGTCTGCTCAGGTCATGATTTCGAGGTCCTGGGTTGGAGTCCCGCTCAGGCTCCCTGCTCAATGGGGAGTCTGCTTCTCCTTCTGCCTCTCCCCCTGCTCATGCTCTCTCTCACTCTCTCTCTCAAATAAATAAGTAAAATCTTTAAAAAAAAAAAAAAAAAACTGATGAAAAACAACTTGTAAGAGAGCCAGACAGCACATCCACACAGCCTGCACATGCCAAACCAAAATAAACAAATTGTCCTTCTTCCCTAACTCGGGGTCCTATTCTCAACTAACAGGAAGTAGGCAGGTGTGGCTAAGGCAGGCCACTGTCACCAGCACACATCTGCTGCCCCTACCTGTCACTGCTGAATTGCAACCCTTTGTATTACAACTTAAATTTTTCATATCATTTTTCTAAGTCTAAGATTTGATCTCGTGCCTGAATTGTCTTTTCTTACAGAGAATAAAATGGTTGATTTAAATGTGGTGATGGATGACGCAAAAGCTTTTACAGGTAAGAAATTGTGGTAAAAATGGAATTCATTATTAACTAAGACCTTAATGCTTTATAGAAAAAAAAAGATGTTAGATAGTAGTTTTCTCTTCAGGCTGTTACTGACACGCTAAGTTGTACCCCTACACATTTAATGGTTAAATGTTTGTTTTATAATCTTACTATTTGATTTGGTATTTTTCCTGTGTCATGTGGAGTTTGGGCCAATAATGTTTTCTACTTCACCATTGTTTCAACAACCAAACTATAGGTGAACTCTGTTCAATCTCAAGGTGAAGCTTTTGTAGGACAGCCAGGAAATATGGTCACTGTGTCAAGAGACCCCATAATTCAGGAAATATATTGGCATTTGACTTATATCTGGGATTATATATACTTTTCTTTTGCTTGAATTAAAAGTGTAAATTCTCTTTCTGACATGATCTATACACCCACAGGTACTCAGAATCTATATAGGTTAACAAGTTTCATTGTCAATTTGCACTTCTAATTAAGCCTATGCCACTTAGGTCATCTTTTTCGTCATTTGAAATCCTTCATCCATTTCTAAAATTCTTATATGTTAACAATTTCCATCTTTCCAAAGGAGAGAAAGTTAATGTCAATAATCTGAGTAATGTGATGAGGAAAATGGGGCTAGTACTCACTGATGAGGAGAAGCAGCAGCTGCTAAAAACTCTACCCATTCATGGTGAGTATTTAGCACATCTTTGAAACCCAGATTTATGGGCTTGTGTGTGAAAACTGCTGAAATTATATATGTGTATGTCCAGTAAAACCCATTTAGAAAGCACAGTTTCACAAAAGAAGAAATTCTGTTCTTGTCACTTACATTTTAATATTGAAAATTGGCAACATCTTTCACTGGTCCCCATCATCAAGGCTAAATTATCCTGTCACCCTGGAGCATCGCCTCACCTAAGTCATGACCAAGGGAAAAAGAAATTTTATACTTCATGTATAAAGGAACTTGTTCATAAGGGAACATTTAAGAGAAAAATTAACAAAGTCAGAAATCAAATGATGAATTAGGAGAGTAAGAGTAGGAAGGAAAAGGGGAGAAATAGGGAGATAAAGAATTTTTAATTCAATAATAGGTTGGTTTATATCAGTGAAAGCTTTCTCTTTGGTTTCATTCTCACTTGAGGGTAAAATAAAATAAAATCCTAAACAAATCCTAAGGGAATTTTTCCCCCTGAAATTGGATGTTGTGTTGTCTTTGTGCTGTCTTTGTTAATCTTCCCTTCATTAACCTCTATTCTTAATTGTGCTTGTCTTACAGCTGATGGAAAAGTATATAACAATAGATTGCTAAAAGGTGTGAAGGCCCTCAATGGTGAGTGAGAAACACAGTGAAAGACCAAATAAAAATAAAATCCTCATGTTTACCATTTGCTTTGAAATGTTCCAACTTTGCTTCTTGCCAATTTTTTTTTAAGATTTTATTTATTTAGAAGGAGAGTGCTTGTGTCTGCATGAGTGGGAGGAGGGGCAGAGGGAGAGGAAAAGAGAATCTCAAGCTGACTCTGCTGAGCACAGAGCCTGATGCAGGGCTCAATCTCACGACTTGGAGATCATGACCTGAGCCGAAATCAAGAGTCAGATGCTTAACCAACTGAGCCACCCAGGTGCCCCTGCTTCTTGCCAATTTTTTGATCCATTGTTATGGACTCAACTTACCATTTTTCTTTGGGTACGTTGACATTTTGGGATATAAGGAAAGTATCATCTTACTGTAGGAAGTTCTAACACTGTTTTCTAGTAAACACCCGGAACTGTACAGACAGTTGTTGTTTCAACCACAGGTAGATGTGCCAATTCTCCCTGTTCACCTCTCATGGAAAACTGAAGAGTACCTGGGTGGCTCAACTGGTTGAGCATTTGCCTTCAGCTCAGGTCATGATCCCAGGGTCATCGGATCAAGCCCTGCATCAGGCTCCCTGCTCAGCGGGGAGCCTGTTCTCCCTCTCCCTCTGCCTGCAGCTCCCCTTGCTTGTGCTCTCTCTTCTTCTTCTCTCTCTCTCTGTCAAATAAATAAAATCTTAAAAAAAAAAAAAAACTGAAGCAAAGTCCCCTGGATGGGTATTAAGGAAAATATCTTATCTCTACTCCTTATACTAATTCTGTTGTAAACAATTATATTTTTTATTTTTAATTAGAAAAATATTTTTAAAACAGCAAATACTACAAGAAAACTATCCAATTCTACCACTTGGAAAACTGATAAAAGAAGTGTAAGTCAAGTCATGGGGATCTAATGTAAAGCATGGTGACTATAGTTAATAATACTGTGTTGTATATTTGAAAGTATAAGAAAGTAGATTTTAAAAGTTCTCACCACAAGAAGAAAAAACTTGTAACTTTGTGTGGTGATGGATGTTAACAAGAATTATTGTGGTGATCACATTATAATATATACAAATACTAAGTCATTATGTTGTACATATAAAACTGATACGATGTTTATTTGTCAATTATATCTCAATTTTTTAAAAAGTGAGAGTCCCCCTACCTCCCACCAATCTCATGCCTCCCCATGAAGGTACTGTTTACTGTTTACCTTTTTCTCAATGTTATCTTTCTCAATTTTTTCCTACTTTCAGCAGACATATCTAAATCTGGGAGATAAATATATTAATAGTTTCTTTGTGCCCTTGTGGTTTACCCTCCAGTTGGGATTTATGATGCATGACCATGATTAGCATTTTTCATCCTTAAGCACCAATATTCATGTTCTTATTCCATGCCCTTCTTTCCTAAGGACCAAGGGTCAAACTCAGAAAAGTGAAATCTGTGATGGAAAACATGGGAATTAAACTCAAGGATGAGGAACTTGAGGAACTAATGACCCAACTGTCAACTGATGGTGAGTGTTACAGGCATCATTTTGCTCTTCAGAGAAATAGTGAACCCTTCTATCAGAACTGCTGAAAGTAGCCTGCCTTTGTAGTATTTAATGAAGTAAATATAAATAGAAAAACTTAATTCTGACTTATTAGGAAATACTATCTCCAAAAATCCTTTTTAAAAGGTCTGTTGGGGATACTACTTGCAAAACTCAACCATGCCTGGGAATGCCACACATATAAGTCGCTGAAAGAAAAGTGACATTTTTTTTTTACTTCATGTATAAAGGAACTTGTTCATAAGGGAACATTTAAGAGAAAAATTAACAAAGTCAGAAATCAAATGATGAATTAGGAGAAAATGTTTGTAAGGCAAAGAGCTAGTACCCCAAAGGTAGAAAAAGCCTTCACACATTGATAAAAAAAACATACTGAGAGTAGAAAAATAGGCAAATATGCAAATAGATAATTCATAAAAGAGGAACATAAATGCCCAGTAACACGTGAAAAGATGACTAACCTCATCAATAATCATGAAAATATAAATAAAACAAAATACAGTATTATTTTCACTCATTGGACAGGCAAAACTTAGCAAGATTGATAACATCTACTTCTGGTGAGGGTATGAGGAAAGGGACTCCCTGACATATTTCAGGTGAGAGTTACCATTGCTATATATCTTCTTGGAAAAGTCATTTGGCAGTATCTGTGGGGGGAAAAAATTCCCTTTTCCCTGGTGAATCCAAGCTACCTGCCTCATCTATAGTATATAGCATTTCTTTGTGCTGAGGACTGGTCTTTGTTCTGCCACTAAATTGCTGGCAAATAATTTAACCCTACCAAATGTTAGTTAGTGTCTTCATATGTTAAATGGGAAGCTGAACTAAATGATTCACTCTGGTCCCTTCTTGCTCTGAAACCAATATAGATAATACATGTTAAGTACTTAAGGCAGTGTCTAGAATACTCAGTAAATGTTTGTCGTGATGATGGTGGTAGTGGTTAAGATAATGGAGAAGATGTTGAAGAAGAACAAAAGGAAGAAGTAAAGGAAATTCTGTGACCTATAAATTAATTTTGCCAGTTATAAAAATATGTCCTAATAGAATAAATATTTGTTTACTAATTATGATCTTTATATAAATAAACAGGTAAGATGCAACTAGAGCGTTTTACAAGAAATCACTGGGCTCACTGGCTCCTCCTCCACTACTCCTGTTCTTATTCTTGGCAACCTCAATATCTTCCATATAGATTAGGGCTTTTGACTTTACTGTGCAATAGACCCCTTTGACGGTATGATGAATGGATCTCTTCTGAGTATATTTTTTAAATGCATAAAACAAAATACATAAGATTACAAAGGAACTAATTATATTAAAATACAATTTATCAAAACATTAAAGATATCAATTATTAACACTTATTAACACATTTAACAAGTTCTAGTAGTAGATCTAATAATTATTAGAATTTTAAAGTAGTGATGAGCCTAAACAACTTTTCAACACATTCGCAACAACTACCATATAATATGAAAATGTCAGTGATTTGTATTAGTAACAAAGTCATAGGTTTTGCTACTACTACCACTAATAATTGAAGAAAATGCTAAATTTAAGTTAGTGGTCAGTGAAAATAAAGATACACAGTTGCCCCTTGGACAATGTGGGAGTTAGGGGCACCAGCCCACTGTGCAGTTGGAAATCTGCATGTAATTTTTTTTTAAGATTTTACTTATTTATTTGAGAGAGAGAGAGAGAGAGATCACAAGCAGGGGGGAGGGGTAGAGGGAGAAGCAGACTCCCTGCTGAGCAGGGAGCCCGATGCGGGACTCGATCCCAGGACCCTGGGGCCATGACCTGAGCTGAAGGCAGATGCTTGACCAACTGAGCCACCCAGACACCCTGCATATAACTTTTGACTCCTCAAAAACTTAATTACTAATAGCCTACTGTTGACTGAATGCCTTACCAGTAGCATAAGTTAATCAACACATATTTTATATGTTATATGTATTATATACTATGTTCTTTTTTTTATATCATTAGTTTTAATTTTTTTTTTAAGATTTTATTTATTTATTTGAGAGAGAGAATGAGAGATAGAGAGCACGAGAGGGAAGAGGGTCAGAGGGAGAAGCAGACTCCCTGCTGAGCAGGGAGCCGGATGTGGGACTCGATCCCGGGACTCCAGGATCATGACCTGAGCCGAAGGCAGTCGCTCAACCAACTGAGCCACCCAGGCGCCCTATGTTCTTTTTTTTAATTTAATTTAATTTTATTATGTTATGTTAGTCACCATACAGTACAAGGGGGAGACAAACCATGAGAGACTATAGACTCTGAGAAACAAACTGGGGTTTTTTTGGGGGGGATGGGTTAGCCCGGTGATGGAGGGCACATATTGCATGGAGCACTGGCTGTATACGAAAACAATGTATCATGGAACACTACTATAGTCTTACAATAAAGTAAGCTAGAGAAAATAAGATGTTATTAAGAAAATCATAAGGAAGAAAAATACATTTATAGAACTGTACTGTATTTATCAAAAAAGTCCACATAAAAGTGGCCCCCTATAATTCAAACCCATGTCATTCAAGGGTCAACTGTATTTTTTCCACATTCAAGCTCAAGGATTCCCTGAATTCTATCATTAGAGGGTCCATAGATCCTAGGTTAAGAAATCCTGATTAAATCCTAATTAATGCCTGATATAAGTCACTCATCCAACACCCTGGGTTCCTGTCCCTTGACCTCTCTAATTTCAATAATCTTTTACTCCCATACCCTTAATTGCTCCTCACATGGTGATGACCTAGACCTTGTCCTCACCTAATACTTTATCACTCCCAAAATCTCTACTTCACCTACCCACTCTCTGACCTTTATCCTTCCAGTTTATTTACTATGCAAACATCTCTGCCACAGTACAATGTAGAAATGCCTGAAAAACCTCCCTTTCTGTAAAATTAAAATTGCCCACTAAAGTGAGCTTATGGGGAAAATTGGAGAAGCCCGTTCAAAATGTATACCACTTTGTAACCAGAACACTAACAAAAGCAGCATTTGATACTGTGTGAGGAAGCTTAGACAGCCCAGGTAAATAGCTCAGAGTAGCTGAAGACTATTAAAAAATATACACACACACCCACAAGGAAAGAGTTGAAAAGCTAGCTTGCAGCTCTGAAATAATGTAGATGGAAGTAGAACCCCTGAGCCAGTGAACCTGGTTCCCCTTCCTATATTACAGGCACTTAGTTTTAAAAATTTTATTAAAATAGAACTGAAAAGTCCCCTGCCATAGCCAACCCAGAATTTTTTCTTTTCCTCTGACATTCTTAATTCTAATTCTTTCACTTAGGAAAAAATGTGTGTGAATGAACACACTGTCCACATTGCTCTGACATTATTCCATTCAGCAACTGAATGTGAAGAATTGGTGCTATTGAGCAGGCGCTGTAGCAGAACAGTGTACAGAATTCCAACTCTAGCTCCTCACCAGCCACATGGCAATCTCAGCTCCAATGGTGGGCTGGCCCTTCCACTTGTGCCCTGGATCTCATTCCCACCTGCCTTCTCAAGGACTGAACTCCTGCAGTTTCCCGCCTTTCTCTCCTGAGCCATCACTTTCTCCCTCTCTACTGTATCTCTCTATAGATGCCACTGACTTGCAGATAATGCTTTCGTCTTCCCCTCATCCCCTGCGGCTACCACTCCACCTCTTAGTCCCTCTTCCCAGCAGAACCTCTCAAAACATTGTCATTACTTAGCCACACTTGTGGTGAACACAGCATAATGTATAAACTTGTCAAATCACTATGTTGCACACCTGAAACTAATGTAACATTGTGTGTCAAGTATACTTCAAAAAAAGAAACCCCAAACTTGTGGTTACTTTTTGTCTCTACTTCTTCACTCCCATTCACTCTATAGCACTCATTCCCTGACATGGAACTGAACAAGATTTCAGTCATCAGTGACCTCTATCTCTTCCCAAGATTCATGGTCAAGTCTCTGTTCTTATTTTACTTGATATCTCAGCAGCGTTTGACATAATGATTAACCCCTCTTTATTGAAACATTTTTTTTTCCTCCAGACATTTAAAGCCCCATACTCACCTGGTTTTCTTCTTTCCTCACTGAGAGCTTCTTCTCTGTTTCCTTTTCAGTTTCTGACTTTTTCCTTTGCAAGATTTCTAAATAATGGAGTGTCCAGGACTAGACTCTTGGCTTTTTTATCTACATCTTCTTCCTAGGAGATTACATCCAGTCTCATTGGGTCAGACACCTTCTTTAAGCTGATAAAAGCAAATTTATATCTCCAGCTCAACGTCCCTAAGTCAGGAATGGTATCTCAAACTACCTATTTGATATCTCCACTTGGATGTCCAAAAGCATCACGAATTTAATGGAATAGTAATTAATTCCCTTAAAAAACCTTAAGCCCTCCCCATCTCAGTAATGGCATCCCATCTACCCTGCTGAGTGGGAAAGTGGGGGGTGAGAGAAGATGAATAGTTTTCTTCCTTGATTTCTCCTTTCCCTTATATCCCACATTTAAATCTAGGCTCTACCTGAAAAATATGTCCTAAATCCATTTATCACTACCTCTACTGCTGCAGCCATAGCCCACCAGCATCTCTTTCCTGGGCCACTGAAACCATCTCCTATCTAGTCCCCATTCCTTCGGCTTCCCCATCCTGCACACATCAGCCAGAGTGATCTTTTGAAAGCTGAGATCAGGTTAAATTACTCCCCTTCTTCATGGCCTCCAGTGACATTCCGCAGCAACCAGACCAAAATCCCAACTTTATTATCAGGAGCCAACGGTGCCCTTCATGATTTGGCCCATGTCACACCAGCCTTTTCTCTGCCCCTCAATCATAACAAAAAGCAGCAATTGATACTGTGTGAGGAAGCTTAGACAGCCCAGGTAAATGGCTCAAATTCATCCCCATCTTAAGGCTGCCACACGTACTGTTTTTCTAGTTGGAATGTTCCTCCCCTAATTCTTTACACGACTATCTTCTTCTCATCATTCAGGCCTAACCCAAATAGACCCTCCTCAGAGAGGCCTTCCCTGATTTCCCTGTCTAAAGCAACCTACCATTACTCTTTATTATATAACCCTATTTTATTTTGATAACATCTTAACAGTACCTCAAATGATCCTTTTTGTTTTGTTTACATGTTGTCTGTTTCCCTCTGCTAGATGTACACTCCTTGACAGCAAGAACTCTGCAAGCTGGTTTACTTTTGTATCCCCAAAGCCTAGCAAAGCGCCTGGCACATAGAAGCTACCCCCTAAATATTTGTTGATTAACTGACCACATAAAAAAAAATACTCAGGGTCAGGTTCATTTGTCCTCTCTCCCTATACTTACCTGTAATGAATCACTTCTTAATTTAATGTTACTCTGGTGGTCTCTAAAGCAAAGGGAAAAGGGAGATACAAGAATGATTCATTATAGATCGAAAACTTTCTTCATTTCTAAGATAGCACTATTATCTCTGAGGATAAGTCTGTAAAATTCTAAGGAAAATTTGGGGAAAAATTGCTGAATTCTTCTGGTCTTCATAGTTTCAGGGTCTCAGTAACATCAGCTTATCTGATTCTGAAGTTTATTTCCCTTGCCTTACAGATGATAGAACAGTTGGTCTGAATGATTTGATGGATACTGTCAGTTGCATCAAGGGTAAGTTGCAAGCTATGATGAAATGATATTATACATAACATCTGAATATTTTGCAATTGGTGGAGAAAAATATTTCCCCTTCATATATGTTTAAATTCTTTCATATGTGTTCCGTTTTTATGGATGCTTCTGAACTTGGGTAAACAATAATTAATGTGTGTTTATATATCAATGCCCATGACATTCTCTGAAATTTTCCCCAAAAGAGTTTTTCAACATAGTACTAGGTATCAAGAGCCAAAGAACTATTCCATTTCCTCCATGAACTCTACTCCCAGGAATTTATCCTCTGGAAATAATTAAGCTGAATAAAAGAAAAAAAATCTCTGCCTAAAGCCTTTCAGAGAAATTTGAAACAGCCTAAACATCTAACAGTATGGGAATTACTACATACACCATGGCCTGCCAGGCTAGTGGGATATCATGTGTTGAAATGTTAACTGTAAAGATTTTGTGGCAATTTGGAAATATGTTAATGATGTAATATTGGGTCGGAAAAGCAAAATACAGAATTGTGTGTATATTAGATTTCCACACAATGAAAGTATAGCCTTATTGTCAAAGGCCAGAAATGGAATATAAAAAACTACAACAGTTTTTGTGGTAGGATAGTAGAATTATATTTTTCCCCTTTATTAATCTTTAATGTTGTTGCATTGTTTTTATGATGAATGAGAAAAAATTACTTCTGTGTTGAGATGAATAAAAATCTTGGAATCCATCATGATCAGAGAAGCAAAGTCCAAGCAAATATTTTTAAATAAAAATAAAATTTTAAAAGCTAGTCTATAGAAAAACACTGAATTTTCAAGTAGAGTAGGAGGAAGAGTAAAAATAAAACCAAATCCCTGTATGCAGCTTAATTTGCTATGGATTTTGCAATAAGTCACCAGTCAATTCCTAACCCATGGTGTATTTTCTTTTTTGTAGCCACCAGAATTAAAGACATAGAACTTTTTTCTTTTTTTTTAAAGACTTATTCATTCATTTTATTTATTTATTTTTTAAAATTTTATTTTATTATGTTATGTTAGTCACCATACAATACCTCATTAGTTTTTGATGTGGTGATCCACGATTCATTGTTTTCATGTAACACCCAGTGCTCCATGCAGTACGTGCCCTCCTTAATACCCATCACTGGGCTAACCCATCCCCTCACCCCCCTCCCCTCTAAATCCCTCAGTTTGTTTCTCGGAGTCTATAGTCTCTCATGGTTCATCTCCCCCTCCGATTCCCCCCCTCATTTTTCCCTTCCTTCTCCTAATGTCCTCCATGCTGTTCCTTATGTTCCACAAATAAGTGAAACCATATGATAATTGACTTTCTCTGCTTGACTTATTCATTCATTTTAGAGAGAGAGCTCAAGCAGGAGGGGCAGGGAGAGAAGAGAGAATCTCAAGCAGGCTCCGGGTGCAGACCCTGCACTGAGCACGGAGCCTGCCTGACACAGGGCTCTATCTCAGGACCCTGAGATCAGGACCTGAGCCAAAACCAAGAGTTGAATGCTTAACCAACTGTGCCACCAGGCACCCCAACACAAGACTGTTTTCTGACCTTTCTGTGAATCCTGGGCATACGTGGGCAATTATATATATAAGTACAGATAGCATTTTTCATCCTTTGTAGATAGTTCTATAATATTTCTACAATTTATTTCTTAATTTTTCTAAGGAGAGGTGATTGATATCCAGGACTTAGACAAATTTCTAGCAAATGAGGGGATCGAGCTCACAGAAGAAGACATGAAGGAGCTGATGTCTCATTTGACTATTTTTTTTAAAGATTTTATTTATTTATTTGAGAGAGAGAATGAGATAGAGAGAGAGCATGAGAGGGGAGAGGGTCAGAGGGAGAAGCAGGCTCCCCACTGAGCAGGGAGCCCGATGTGGGACTCAATCCCGGGACTCCAGGATCATGACCTGAGCCGAAGGCAGTCGCTTAACCAACTGAGCCACCCAGGCGCCCTCATTTGACTATTAATGGTGAGGTTTTAAAAATTCTCTTGTCTTCCCAGAAGTGTGTCTTTGTTATCCTGTATATAAGATCCTCAGAAATGATCCTTGTCTTTTTTTTTAAGATTTTATTTATTTATTTGAGAGAGAGAAAGCATGAGAGGGGGGAGGGTCAGAGGGAGAAGCAGACTCCCCACTGAGCAGGGAGCCCGAGGCAGGGCTCGATCTTGGACTCCAGGGTCATGACCTGAGCCAAAGTCAGATGCTTAACTGACTGAGCCACCCAGGCGCCCGATCCTTGTCTTTTTATCACCTACAACAATGCTTCTCAAACTTGAACATGCACATGAATCACCTGGGCATTTATTAAAATAGAAATTGTTATTTGGGTCTGGGTTGGAGCCTGAAAAATTCCACATTTCTAACACGTTCCCAATGATGCCAATGCTACTGGGCTATGGACCACACTTTGCCTATAAAGGTCCTAAAAGATGAAGAAATGATACATTAAGATTGTGCCCGGCCTTTCATTTCTTTTTTTTTTTTTAAGATTTTATTTATTTATTTGACAGAGAGAGACACAGTGAGAGAGGGAACACAAGCAGGGGGAGTGGGAGAGGGAGAAGCAGGCTTCCTGCAGAGCAGGGAGCCCAATGTGGGGCCTGAACCCAGGACCCTGGGATCATGACCTGCGCTGAAGGCAGACGCTTAATGAGCGAGCCACCCGGGTGCCCCCTGGCCTTTCATTTCTTAAGTCACAAGTATAAGCAATATGTTAATTTGTGCCTGAGAGCAGGATTCCAGCCCAAAAATAAGAAGGAAAAATATTAGGGTAATTAAAATTAAAAAATAAAAATGAGGGAGAAATACGTAAGAGGAAGCAAGGGCATTAAGGGTTGACTTATTTCATTTATGCTTGCTCTTTTGTTTGCTTGTTGAGATTTTTATTATTGTTTATTGAATCTGGCTACATATCTGCTGACTCTTCTGTTCTATAGTTACTTTAGTATTTTTTTATTTCTACTATTTTCTTTGTTGTTCTGATTAAAAAAAAAAAAGTGATCTGGGAGCATTTGGGGAGTAGCATTTCTTACCATAATGCTTCAGTGATGTAGTTGTGTGTCTCTGACCTTGAATGTTTCAGATTGTATATTGATTTATTCAACCAACAAATATTTATTGATCACTGAATATGTGCAGGTGCTATACTAGGTACAAGGAATATAAGAATGAAGCAGAGAGTACAGACTTGGTTTTCTCTGCTAAGCCTAACTGGAAGTAGAAGGTAAAGCCCTGAACCAATATGTTTCTCAAATCCCAGTTTTAAAGCAATAAATTTGAACCTATTCATTGCAAACATCACTTTCTGTTCTCTCCAGTTTACTGTTTCTTCTTATTCACCTAGACTTTCTTCCTCTCCTCTCTCCAATGGAGAAAAGTCTCCTTTCAACACCTCCAATCCATTGCTCTTGACCTGATCATCTCCCACTTTGTCAAAAATTATTTTTTAAATTGAGATATAATTGACATATAACATTATATTATATTTCAGGTGTACAATATATGATTCAATATTTTTATAAAAAGTCATTTCTTTCATAATTCCTTCCCAACACTTTCAGTTTCATCTCTTTCTCTCTACTCTGCCTATGAAGAGGCACATAGTCCCCCACTCCTTTTAAAAAGTAATCTTCAGCTGGTTCTTCTACCTCATAATTATGATCATTCATCCCTCATTCCTTTCTCAGTCTGCTTTTTTATTGTCTGTCGGAGCCGTTTCTGCTTCCTCGCTTCACATTCTCTTTGAATCCTTGCAATTGGCTTCCCCAGTCACATAGCCTGCAACTCTACTGAAATAACCCTCAGAATCTGAAATCACGAATAATTTACTTTGCCGGCCTCACTTGTTCTAGCTTCCAAACATGGGAACAAACGAGGGTTTATTTCTCAGTCTTCTCAGTTTTAATTCCTTCCCTCCCTTGATTATATCACTCCTTGATTGTCACTTCATTATCAACTCTCTATGGTAGCAGTTCTCAAATCAGCATCTAGGGGCACCCCACTCTTTTGGAAGGTCCATGAGATTGAAACTATTTTTGGGCGCCTGGGTGGCTCAGTCATTAAGCGTCTGCCTTCGGCTCAGGTCATGGTCCCAGGGTCCTGGGGTCAAGTCCCGCATCGGGCTCCCTGCCCCACGGAGAGCCTGCTTCTCCCTCTCCCACTCCCGCTGCTGTGTTCCCTCTCTCACTGTGTCTCTCTGTCAAATAAATAAATAAAATCTTAAAAAAAAAGAAACTATTTTTAAAATAACACTAAAACAGTATTTACCTTTATCATTCTCATTCACTCACAAGTGTACAATAGCTTTTCTAATAAGCTACTTGACATAGCCACACATGATATATCTGAAAAATCTATTAAAATATTTCTTTTCTGGGTGACTGGGCAACTCAGTCAGTTAAGCATCAGACTCTTGATTTCAGCTCAGGTCATGATCTCAGGATCCACTAGGTGTGGAGTCTGCTTGAGATTCTCTCTCTCTCCCTCTGCCCCTCCACCCACCTCATATACTCTCTCTCAAAAAAAAAAATAATAAATAAAATAATAAAATATTTCTTTTCTGACTACATAACTTTATAAGGCCAGATTTTCTTCAACCGAGAAAACATATCACAGCAAACTAAATGCAGAAACAGACTGAGAATCCCAGCTGTCTTCTATTAGGCCAGACATTAAAGAGATTTGCAAAAATGTAAAACAATGCTATTTTAGCTTAGGCTGCTATAACAAGAATACCATACACTGTGTGGCTTATAAACAACAGAAATTTATTTCTCACAGTTCTGGGGCCAGAAGTCCTGAGATCAGGGTGCCAGCAAGGTTGAGTTCTGGTGAGAACCCTCTTCTGGGCTACAGATTGTCACCTTCTCATGGTATCCTCACATGGCGGAGAGCACAGAGCAGCAGGCTCTCTCCTGACCCACAGGGGCACTAATCCCATTCATGAGGGTCTGCCTTCAGGATCTCATCCTATCCTAATCACCTCCCCAAAACCCTGCCTCCTCATACCACCATATTGGAGATAGAATTTTAATATATGAATCTGGGGGGACACAAATGTTCAATCAGTAACATTACCTTTCCCACTAAATTTTAATGCCTTAATTTTTTCATTTTTCAGTTGATATATATTTTTCACTAAAAAGTATGTTAATAGGTACTGTATTTATTATTGCTATCTTAAAATATTTTTAAAATTTCTCAGTTTTAATATCTAATATGGTAATTAAACCCACATAATAGCTGTAACTCACATAAACCTCTTAAAGGTCCTCAAAAATTGTTAAGAATGTAAAGAAGTCCTGAGACCAAAATGCTTGAAAACCTTTGTTCTCTGGATTATTCTTTGTCACCACTGTGTTTACAGCTGCCTGCTGAATACTTCTTCCTTTCTGTCCCACTGGCACCTTAAGCTTTTTTTGTGGGGGAAGAGTGGACTTTTCCTTAAACACCAGATGCATACAGTTGAGCTAATCAAACTCCTCAGTTATGGCACACCATCATCATTGATCCATGCAAGGACCCCTTGTGTTTCATTTTATTATTTTCTCCTTTACCTCCTACTTCCGTTCCTATTTCCTTCCCCCCATCTTGGGTACATTCTTTATTATATTTAATGTATGCTCTTCCAATCCACCTTCCTCATGTTTATTTTAGATATGTGTGTATCCCTTTAAAAATTCAATGTGTGTGGTATTTAATTTCCTTAAATGGTATTGTGCTATAAAACTCATTCTATTTCTTTTTTTCAATCAACATTTTTAAAAGCCTTATTGAGATAGAGCTCACATACCAAACAATTTATCCATTAAAATATATAATTGGATGGTTTTTAGTACTCACAGATATTGGCAACTATCACCACAGTCATTCTAGAACATTTTCATCACCTAAAAAAGGTGCTATGTATATGCAGAAGGTTCTAAGGGAGCATCTAGCCAAGACCGGGGTTTTCTGGAAAAGGTCCTAAGCTGAACAAGTATGGAAAGATCATTCCAGCCAGAGAAACATACTCTGTAATCTCAAGAGTGATAAATACACCCTCTCAAATGTGTTGGTTCTCAAGAAATCCTTGTTAGAAGAAAACACAGAGCAGCTCCTTCTCTACCTATTCCAACTCTAAGCAATTGGCCAACATAGTCTCTTCATATCTTTTGTTTGTTTTAATGTCATCTGAGTTTGGAAAAGGTGCTGCCAGATTTGAGCCCTGGTTCTTCTTGTAATATCTCTTCTCCACATGTAACCTTTGGATTGTCATACCTTGAAACACAGAAAAGAGGAACTGTATTGAAGAAGTAGAGAGATTTGTCTCGCTAAAGATTTATCCTTTCTTCCATCATACTCACCTGAGGGGAAAAATGAATCCAATTCCCAAGCAAACCAGCTTCTCTAATTCTTCTCTCTCATAGGAGAAGTTCCAGCCTGCCATGGCATTTTAATAATTTCACAACTTTTTTCAGTTTTTATGAGTTTTTTATTTAAATTCAATTAATTAACATATAGTATATTACTAGTTTCAGAGGGAGAGTTCAGTGATTCATCAGCTCATATAACACCCAGTGCTCATTATATCACATGTCCTCCTTAATGCCCATCACCCAGTTACCCCATCCCCCCCGCTTGCCTCCCCTCCAGCAACCCTCAGTTTGTTTCCTAGAGTTAAGAATCTCTTATGGTTTGTCTTCCTCTCTGATTTCATCTTATTTCATTTTTCCCTCCCTTCCCCTATGATCCTCTGTGTTGTTTCTTAAATTCCACACATGATAATTGTCTTTGACTGACTTATTTTGATTAGCATAATACCCTCTATCTAGTTCCATCCATGTTGGATGCAGAGAAGGGAACTCTCTTACACTGCTGATGGGAAAGCAAGCTGGTACAGCCACTCTGGAAAACAGTATGGAGGTTCCTGGAAAAATTAAAAATAGAACTACTGTACAACACAGCAATTACACTACTAGGTATTTACCCAAAGGATACAAACATAGCGATCCAAAGGGGCACCACCTGCACCCTAGTGTTTATAGCAGCAATGTCCACAATAGCCAAAATATGGAAAGAGCCCAGATGTCCATTGACAGATGAATGGATAAAGAAGATATAGTATATATATATATACAATGGAATATTACTCAGTTTTTATGAGTTTTTCTGTGATTTCCTCTGTGTCTGATTCAAATGTTTTACAGGAAATGGGAAGGTTAGAGTGGATTCAATAATGGAGGACCTAAAGAAGTTTAAATGTGAGTGGAAATTTATGATTCACTTTATAAAAATGGATAATCTGGTGCTATAACTTTATTTTTACATGTGTTTTCTTGGTTATAAAAGTAATACATATTCATTATAGAAAATTTCTATATTCAAAAAATGAAAGAATGCAAAAGGAAAATTTTAATAACTCTTAATTCTATCACCCAGTGATAATCTATAATTTTTTTCACCCCTAATTTTTTCCTTATACAAACACAGTTTTTGTGCATTTAGCTTCAAAGTCCCACTTTCAAACTACTTTTCCATTTTCTTATTAATACTAAAATTTTACCTATTGATAGGTATGTCTGATGACCTGAAATTCCTTTTTGGATGCCTGTGAAATTTAACACATAACCTCAGTACTTTCTTTTTGCAGGCCTCTTAGCATATTTATTTCTAAAATAACTTTCCCAGTGCAAAATGCCACCGTCTGTACTTACTTAAAAAGAATGAATGGGAAGTTTAAAATGATGCTGTGATTATGGTGAGTGCTGTGAATTGTGTAAGACTGATGAATCCCAGACCTGTACCCCTGAAACAAATAATACATTATATGTTAAAAAAAAAAAAAAAGATAGTAGGAAGGGAAAAATGGAGGGGGGGAAATGGGAGGTGGAGATGAACCATGAGAGACTGTGGACTCTGAGAAACAAACTGAGGGTTCTAGAGGGGAGGGGGGTTGGGGGATGGGTTAGCCTGGTGATGGGTTTTAAAGAGGGCATGTTCTGCGTGGAGCACTGGGTGTTATACGCAAACAATGAATCATGGAATGCTACATCAAAAACTAATGATATAATGTATGGTGATTAACATAACTTAATAAGATAAAATTAAAAAAAAAGAAAATGATGCCGTGAAACTTGTCAGGAGAGGCAAGTTAAAACTTATCTTCTAGCTACCATATGATCCAGCAATTGCACTACTGGGTGTTTACCCCAAAGATGCAAGTGTAGGGATCCGAAGGGGTACATGCACCCCAGTGTTTATAGCAGCAATGTCCACAATAGCCAAACTGTGGAAAGAGCCAAGATGTCCATCGACAGATGAATGGATAAAGAAGATGTGGTATATATACACAATGGAACGTTATGCAGCCATCAAAAGGAATGAGATCTTGCCATTTGCAACGATGTGGATGGAACTGGAGGGTGTTATGCTGAGTGAAATAAGTCAATCAGAGAAAGACATGTATCATATGACTTCACTGATATGAGGAATTCTTAATCTCAGGAAACAAACTGAGGGTTGCTGGAGTGGTGGGGGGGTGGGAGGGATGGGGTGGCTGGGTGATAGACATTGGGGAGGGTATGTGCTATGGTGAGCGCTGTGAATTGTGCAAGACTGTTGAATCACAGATCTGTACTTCTGAAACAAATAATACAACATATGTTAAGAAAAAAGAAAAAAAAGAAGATAGCAGGAGGGGAAGAATGAAGGGGAGTAAGTCGGAGGGGGAGACGAACCATGAGAGACGATGGACTCTGAAAAACAAACTGAGGGTTCTAGAGGGAGGAGGGTAGGGGGATGGGTTAACCTGGTGATGGGTATTAAAGAGGGCACATTCTGCGTGGAGCACTGGGTGTTATGCACAAACAATGAATCATGGAACACTACATCAAAAACTAATGATGTAATGTATGGTGATTAATATAACAATAAAAAAATTAAGAAAAAAAACTTGTCTTCTGCCCTCTTGCCCCCTCCCAAAACCTTAATCTGTACTTCATTCTCCAATAATTTTGATTTGCTTTCTGCACCAGCATTTTTCAACAAGAATGATTTTTTTTAATTGATATGTCTCTGAAAGCCTGATTATGTTTCAAAAAGAAGAATTTAAGAATAATTTAAGGTGCTTTATGTAAGTATCTACAAAATGAATCTTAAAAAGAGAAGATAAATTTAAATTCTGGGCACCCACACTTAACATTTCCAGATGAGTCTTGTTGTATTTTATTATTTGCAAAAGAAAAAAGATTTCTTTGAATAGGTCCCATTCTATCCCATATATTGCTGCTTCTGTCACTGGTGCCAGAAAACTTTCAAAAAATGTCTGCTTGGTAGCTTTTAACCCCAGCATTTAAAATCATGATGCTGAATTTAGGGATATTGAAGCAATCTTCTGTGATCATGTATAAGATCAGTGTTCATCAAGAAGCACTTATTGAGTACCCGCGCCCTGTGAAAAAGAAAGTTCAGCAATGAAAAGGGGACAAGCTAAGTTCCTGCTCTCAGCAAGGCTGTTTTTGAGTAAATAGTATGTGCCCAATAAATGTTTGTCAATTGACTAATAGAGGTTCTAGTCTCCTGCTTTCAGATGATGGAAGGTTCACTAACCCAAGCAGCTGTATCGAGGTTGTTCTCATAACAACCCTCCCAATCTGGGCCACTCAGAAGAAAGAGTTATGTAACACTGTGTAAAACCCCAGGGCATGTAAGTGAGTCACCCAAAACAGAATTGATGGTTCAAACCCTTCTACAAAGCCAGGAGAGCACGGCCTCCCAGTCCCATCTGCTTACTTTTCCGTCCTTTTTCCAGGTTTTTCTTCTTCTTCCTGTCTCTACTAATAGATTTTTTCTCTCACTCCTGCTGCCATTTGTTTTCCTAGTAGTCCCTTTTTCTCTTTTCTTTCCAGTCTCTGTCCAACATACACTGTTCACATGCCTACCCTGCTCTCCCACTTGCTTTCTGCACTGCGTAAGCCCATTCCACTTGCTGCCACCAAAATATATGTTATTCTGTGAAGTCCACAGTACATTAAAGAAAGTGTAGACATCGAAAAGTATGTTTCATAACTTTAGAAACTTCTAACAGCAGTGTCTACTCCTCAAATTCACCAAATACTACTCAGTGTCCACTTACTAAGTTTTCTTTATAGGTACAGGTATTAAGGGAACAGATTTTATTTCTGAATACTGTATACTGTATTGACTTTTTTGGTACATTCAAACACGTCCTACTTATGATTTAAGTTTTCACTCTCAACTTTTGATGACTAGACATACTCATTTTTTAGACAATGGCATTTTTTACACTTATCTTTTTTCTCCAATCCCCATTTCACCATTTCTATTTTTCTAAGGAATAAAAGTAAATTTCAGTTACCTAAGCATAATAACATGAAAATGACACTTCTATATGAACAGCTTCAAGACCTGCTAATATTTCATGTCATTTGATGGTGAACATTCAAAATCCCACTCTGGCCTGCAATGTTGTAGGTTGTAGGGTTCTGTATGAGAATTTCTAAAACCATACTTATTAGGGCTATAGGGAAACTCTAAATACATCTAGAAAAAAGCCTATTGTGTAAAAATAAAGTCTGCCTCTTGTCAAAAACAGAAATCTTCCAAGTCCCATTCCCAACCAGAGTGATGCCACATGCAGCATCCTAGAATGGCATAGGATGCCTCTAGCAAACTAATGTCTAGGCAGGGAGAAGAACCAAGCAATGGAGAAGAGAAGAATGAGAGGGAAGGGAGGGAATAAAGGTGTTTGATAGGTTCTTCTTAATCGTACAAATTATGTGTTTTATGTTAGTATTAATCTCTCCCTTTGCATAAGGAAAATATACCTACTTTATGTGTACTGCCTTCTGCATGATGTATTACCCTGTATAGCCTTCACAGCCTAAAGGTACTACCAAAACTTTTCCGTATTTCTGTAACCCGCAACTGACCTTTCTTGATATCAAAATAGCATTATTGGCTTTATCTGGTCAAACTAAACCAAACTTAGGGAACTGAACTATTATACCCAGCACTTTTCTCCTAAGTTAATCTCCTTGTGCATAGAAAACCAAACTACCCAACATGTTGATAGGAAGAAAAGAACTGAATGAGTACTATTAAAGTACTTGTTTCATTGTTGTTGTTCGGGCCATAGGGTACAGTAGGGCAAGGCGGAGAGATTCTTAGTCAATATTATAACGAATATTGTATGTACAGACTTCACAGGAGAACTCACTAGAAAGAAATCTGTACCACTAAAAGGCATATAACTAGTCAACAGTTCATAACCAAAGCACTAATGAAAATGAAATGGATAGCAGGTTGTCCTCCTTGTTGACAGTCAACGAGTTTTCAAAGTCACTTCACTTCTTTTCATCCTAAAAGATGATAAGTGAATAGTCTTGCCTTCAATGTTGACTCTATTTTTCGTTTCAAAAACAATTTTTTGGAGTTTGACACATTAAGGCACCAAAAGAGGCAACATGAATTAAGAGGCATATCACTAACTGGGGATGAAAGAATGCACTTGTGATGAGCGCCAGTGTTGTATGGAAGTGTTGAATCACTATATTGTACACCTGAAACTAATATTACAGTAAATGTTACCTAACTGGAATTTAAATAAAAACTAAAAAACAAAACAAAACAAAAAACAAGAGGTATGTCACATACAACTGACATTTTCTCTTCACTTTCCCACTCATTGGAGGAAAAATTAAAAGAAAATTATAATTTGCCCCTGTTCTACTTTTCAAAACTTCATAAATGTATATAATTTTGACTCTTAATCTTGTCTTTAAGCAAAAGGGATGGTGCCACTACATAAGTTGATGAAAACTGGACATGATACTAAAGGTGAGTGTGAGACCTGATGTGAAGGCATCATAATGATGGGGTTTAATACTTTGACTTATGTATTTCAGTCCCATAGTTATTTTCCCTCACAGTTTTGTCAGTCACTACCCTCTATCTATGTGTTGATAGGCGACTGTACACCCTTCTCTCTCCAGTTGTTTTTCTGAGTTCCTTTTGCTTTTATAGTCCAAACTACACTGCATCACATGTGACTATCAGATATTTTACATTGTTTTCTAATGGATTTATTTGTGATGGATTTGGTTTTTTTCTCTAGTTACTGTGTAACTTATTTGGTGCAGTTTATAGTCCAATTACACAAAGCGGATGTTCCTAACTCTGCCCCTAAAGAGATTAATTGAACTCATTGTGCTTTAGTGTCCTTATCAATAAAATGAAAAAGGTGAATTAGATTAATGATCTGTTAGTTCTTTTTCATCTGCAAAATTCTAACTTTGTGGTTGAAAAGACACTATCAAGAAAATGAAAAGACATCCCACAGAACAGGAGAAATATTTGTAAATTTTGTATCTGATAAGGATCTAGTATCCAAAACATAGAAAGAACCCTTGTAACTCAACAATAAAAAGACAAATAACCCAACTTTTAAAATGGTCAAAAGACCTAAATAGACATTTCTCAAAAGTAGATATAAAAATGACTAATAAGCACATGAAAAGATGTTCAACATCATTAGTCATTAAAGAAATGCAAATCAAAATGCAAGCTACCACTTCACACCCACTTGGATGACTATAATAAAAAAAAGACAATAACAAATGTTGATGAGGGCATGGAAAAATTGGGAGTCTTCATATATTGCTGGTGGGAATGTAAAATGATGCAGCTGCTGTGGAAAACAGTTTGGGAGTCCCCAAAATGTGAAACATGGTTACCATGTGACCCAGCAATCCCACTCCATGGGATATAGCCAAGAGAAGTGAAAACATATATCCACACAAGAACTTGTACAAGAATGTTCATAGAAAGATGACCCATGGGCGCCTGGGTGGCTCAGTTGGTTAAGCAACTGCCTTCGGCTCAGGTCATGATCCTGGAGTCCCAGGATTGAGTCCCACATCGGGCTCCCTGCTCAGCAGGGAGTCTGCTTCTCCCTCTGACCCTCTTCCCTCTCGTGCTCTCTCTATCTCATTCTCTCTCTCAAATAAATAAATAAAATCTTTAAAAAAAAAAAAAAGAAAGATGACCCATAATAGTAAAAAAAATGAAGACAATCCAAATGTCCATCAACTGATAGATGGATACACAAAATGTGGCCTATTCATACAATGGAATATTGTTTAGCCATAAAAAGGAATGAAGTATGGATACATGCCAAAACACTGATGAACCTTGAAAACATCATGCTAAGTGAAAAAAGCCAGACAAAAGGCCACATATAATATTATTCTGTTTATATTAAATGTCAAGAATAGGCAACTCAATAGAGATAAAAGATAGATTAGTGGTTGCCTGTAGGCAGCTACTATGGGGAGTAGTTGCTAGTGGCACAGGGCTTCTTTTCTACATGATGAAACTATTCTGGAAGTAGATGGTGGTGATGGTTGTACAAGTAAAACCACTGCACTCACACTTTTAAAAGAGTAAGTTTTATGGTATGTGAATTATATTTTAATTTTTTTAAAAAGTACAGGACTGACCAAAAAAAAAAATATATATATATATATATATATCTGCTGAAGAAATACAAGGATGCCAAATCTGCACCTGTTTACTTGTCAAGCTCTGTAGGTGGAAAAAATAAACAATAGGCTGGGCCCAGTATAAGTCCTAGCCCCAAAGCACCTTCCATATATCCAGTGTACCTATCTGTGGAACCCAGCTTATGCCCTAGTACTATCAGCCCCACAGATAAATATCACACCAGTCCACCAGTTTTAAACTACCTAGGATACACCCATAAGTAAATTAAGTGAAATCAGCCCTTTATCCCATTTGGTTCTGGTTAGATGACTATTGATGTAGCTAAATTATAATACATGCCTACTCCCTGGAATATTTAAGTTTCTTACATATACCACCCTATTAATTTTGATGCCTTCTGTCACCACTATTCACTCACAGATCATGGGAACCTGAATTTGGATGAACTTGTCCTATTTCCCTGTCAGCTACTTTTGAGTAGGCATGCCATCTTTTAAGTCTTTATTCTCTGTTCTGAGCAGATAGTAGGGTATCTGCTGAAGGGATGAATGGATGCATATATGCATTCATTTAAACAATCAGTTAGTGTTTACCATGTGCCAAGCCTTATTCTACATATTTAGGACAAAAATCCTTACCCTCTGGAACTTACACTCAAGAGATATATGCAACAAAAAGAATAAGATAATAGTATGACAGAGATTACAGAGATCAAAATAAAGCAAAGATACTTTTCCAAAGAAGACATCCAGATGGCTAACAGACACATGAAAAGATGCTCAACATCACTCATCATCAGGGAAATACAAATCAAAACCACAATGAGATACCACCTCACACCTGTCAGAATGGTGTTGGCAAGGATGTGGAAAAAGGGGAACCCTCTTGCATTGCTGCTGGGAATGCAAACTGGTGCAGCCACTCTGGAGAACAGTATGGAGCTTCCTCAAAAGTTAAAATTAGAACTACCCTATGATCCAGCAATTGCCCTACGAGGTATTTATCCAAAGGATACAAACATAGTGATTTGAAGGGGTACATGCACCCTGATGTTTATAGCGCATTATCACCAACAGCCAAATTCTGGAGAGAGCCCAAATGTCTATCAACTGATGAATGGATAAAGAAGATGTGGTATATATATACAATGAAATAGTACTCAGCCAACAAAAAAAATGAAATCTTGCCATTTGTAACAACATGGATGGAGCTAGAGTCTATTATGCTAAGTGAAATAAGTCAGTCAGAGAAAGACAAATACCATATGATTTCACCCATGTGTGAAATTTAAGAAAGAAAACAGAAAACAGATGAACATATGGGAAGGGGGGGAAAGAGAGAGGGAAACAAGCCATAAAAGACTTTTTTTAAAGATTTTATTTATTTTGAGAGAGAGTGCAAGCAGGGGGAGGAGCAGGAGCAAAGGGGATGGGAGAGGAGGGGAAAGAATCTCAGACTCTGTGCTGAGCGCAGAGCCCGACAGGCTCGATTTAACACCCCCAAGACCATGACCCGAGCTGAAACCAAGAGAGTGTTGCTCAGTAGACTGAGCCACCCAAGCGCCCTGAGACTCTTGACAATAGAGAACAACCTGAGGGTTGACGGAGGGAAGAGGTTGGGGAATGGGCTAGATGGGTGATGGGTATGAAGGAGGGCACTTATTATAAGGAGCACTGGGTATTGTACGTAAGTGATGAATCACTAAATTCTATCCCGAAACCAATATTGCACAGTGTGTTAACTACCTAAAATGTAAATATAAAAAGTGAATAAATAAATAAAGCAAGGAAAAGGGGTGTAGGGAATTCTGCAAGTGAGGGAAGGCAATCAAGAAAGGCCTTGCTGATAAAGGACATTTAAGCAAAAAGATAAAGAGGTAAGGGAGTGAGCCATAAATAATCTGAGGCAAGAGCACTCCATGCAGAGGGCAGAGCAAGTGTAAATGCCTTTATAAAAGAGCATGCTTGCAGTATTTGAGAAAAAGCTAATTGGCCATTCTGGCTAGAACAGAGTTTTCACTCTGGGCAATGTAGGAAGAGATAAGGTCATAGAACTAGGTGACAGGACCATCACATTTAGTCACATAGTCTATGAAATGCACAATTCCAGGGCTGTACAATAAGATGTCCAAATGAGGTGATGCAGGTGTAGCCAGGAACAGATCATAAAAGCCTTGAAGGCTATTATAAAGGTTGGATTTTACTATCACTCGATAAACTTTGCTGCTCACAAAAACAAACAAATCAATCAATTAATCAATCAATCAAGGTTGGATTTTTACTCTGAGTGACAGGAAAATACTGGAGAATTTGAGCAGAGACATGACATGATCTGACTTAAGTTTTGAAAGGATTATCCTGGCTTCTATGTGTAGGATAGACCTGGCAGGTAGTGGATAAGGCAAGAGCAGAAGCAGGGAGACCAGTTCGACCAAAACAACAGGTAGAGGTGGGGATGGTGGAAAGTAATTTGATTACATATATATTTTGAAGATGGAATCAACAGTGTTTCTGGCTAGATGTATTCCCTGATGTATCCCAGGGCCTAGAACAAAATAGACACTAAAAAAATATTTACGGAATGAATGGATTGGATTAGATGGGTGGCTCAGTCCGTTAAGCATCTGCATTCTGCTCAGGTCATGATCCCAGGGTCCTAGGATCAGCCCCACATCAGTCTCCCTGCTCAGCAGGGAGCCTGCTTTTCCCTCTGCTTGCTTGTGATCTCTCTCTCTCTCTCTCTCTGACAAATAAATAACAATAAAAAAAAAACTTAAAAAAAATACTAAACCAGGGGCGCCTGGGTAGCTCAGTCCTTAAGCGTCTGCCTTGGGCTTGGGTCATGATCCCAGGGTCCTGGGATCGAGCCCCACATCGGGCTCCCTGCTCCGCAGGAAGCCTGCTTCTCCCTCTCCCACTCCCCCTGCTTGTGTTCCCTCTCTCGCTGTGTCTCTCTCTGTCAAATAAAATCTTTTAAAAAAAATACTAAACTGTATGCTTAAAATGGTTAAGATCGTAAATTTTCTGTTTTTTACCACAATTTGAAATAATAATAATTAAAATAATAATATTAATATATTTCTCAACAATCCCATCCAATAGGAACTGCCATTATTCCCATTTTAATCTTGGTAGGCCCTAACAGAGTAGGCCCTTAATAAATACTTGTTTAATTAATTTGTAAATTAAACCATCCCTTTCTTTTCCTTTGTATCCCAAAGCGGAATAGGAGGCAATGTACCAAGTTCACAAAGACTAGGGAAATGTCAAATTATGCCCACAATAAACAAACTCTGAGAGCAGGAATAGAAATCCTCTAGAACTGCAGCTACTAAGTGAGGCCTGAAATAATTTGGGGGTCTCAAGCTAAACATTGGGTGCCAAAGGTATCTATGCTTGGCCATGATGAAGACTAAAGACATGCCTAACTCCTGTCCTAGATGATTTACAATGCCATGAGACATGTGAGATCTTGAATATTAAGGTTTCTAATTAAAACAATCATAATCTTTTTGTAATTGCTCTTTTTAAATCACTCTTTCCAATAATACTTTAGTCTACAAACCTATGAGAGTTCGGGATATTTTTGTCCTTCCTGGGCTTAAGCAATTAATGAAATGGTTCTTAATCACCATTCAATCAAGGCATTTAGGTAAAATTAACAACTTCCAACTCACTAATGTTTAACATGGAATTATAGTAATACAGAATTAAAACAAAAAAACCCAAAAAACCAAAAAACTTCCCTTCCCTGAAATCCCCACAGTGTCCAAATATTCTCATTCTGTAATTGACACCCACACATCTCCAAGGGTGCTAAACAGACCACATTGAAAACATGGTTGCTCTAAACCTGGAAGGAGCTTGTAGGTCATTCTCACCTGGGCCTGAGCCTGAGAAGTGAATGAGGTCATAGTTGTATGATGGAACAAACCCTTTATTGGATTCTTGATCTGATTGAAGCCCAGAAGTGGTAGGTAGCACGGCTTAAAAGTAGGCAAATATCTGGATTTTGTAGGAATCTATGCTGAGTCCTTTTTTTTTTTTTTTAATCTCTCATCTCTAGGAGAGATTGAAGGTAGTTTTTTTAAAGTAATGATTATTTTGCGCCATGAGGATGATTTCACAGCCCCTTTCAAGTGCCTACATTATTGAGCCTCTCCGGAGTTCCCAGCTCTGTGGTAGGTTTCCAGATTTTGAACACGTGTAATTGAGTTGTTTAGAAACAACTGGCTTTCCAGGCTCCAAGGTAAAGACCTAGGAAAATGGACCAAACTGTAATTACACATTCAAAGACTCTTTGTGGTTTCATAGTATTTGTCTATCATTCCTAAATCAGCAACCCAGTATTCTTTAATACAGTCTACACTTTGAAAATTGTAATTGGAGAGGTAAAACCCCCAATAGAAGGGGGAAGCCTTACCAACCCAGCTCCTGGTCCATAGGTCCTGACACCCAAACTGCTGAAGTGGAAAGGCAGGACCAGGGAGACTCTAGTGGTTAAAAGTCCATTCAGGAGGGTCGAGGGTGGTGAAAGAGCATTGTATCCCACCTCTGCTCCTACATTTGGGTTCCCATACAGTGGGTTCATAAGAACTGACAGGGCAGGGATGGACCTCCCAGAAGGAAATCCTAGAAAATACTTATTACCAGGCAGGTATCCAAGATATAAACAATTAGGTAAATATTTTAGAAATGCTGTAACATTTTATTCTCTGTCAATTATAATATGAAATGTTCTGATTTCAAAAATAAATTTTGTCTTTATTTAAAGTTATTTAAATAACTTTTTGCACATATTTCCAGGATGCTTTATCTAAGTCATATGGTATCACTTATTTTTATATGTGATTAGAATGACACTATTGGGGGGGAGACAAGGATAAGACATTTTGCTTAGAGATCTTGGGACAGTGAAGCGGTCCTTCCACGTGGCCTTCCAACTTTGCACATACCTCTAACTTGAATTTGCACATATTACCGTTCCTCAAGGCCCTGGACTTCAAAATCTAGGTGTTGAGCTAGGAAAGTTGCAAAAGAAAATAGAGGAATTAATCTGTGATTTGATCCTATTTGTATCTTCTGAATTCCAGACAGAGTTATTGGCCCCATGGCAGTTTCTGACATTAAATCAAAATTTAAGCTAAATCCTCTAACAAAAGTACCCAGCTCCCATGGCAAGAGGTAAGTAATGAATATATTCAGGTGATAGATTAAGGGAAAGAATTATTTTTTTTAAGATTTTACTTATTTAAGTCAATCAGAGAAAGACATGTATCATATGACCTCACTGATATGAGGAATTCTTAATCTCAGGAAACAAACTGAGGGTTGCTGGAGTGGTGGGGGTGGGAGGGATGGGGTGGCTGGGTGATAGACACTGGGGAGGGTATGTGCTATGGTGAGTGCTGTGAATTGTGCAAGACTGTTGAATCACAGATCTGTACTTCTGAAACAAATAATGCAACATATGTTATGTTAAGAAAAAAGAAAAAGAAGAAGATAGCAGGAGGGGAAGAATGAAGGGGAGTAAGTCGGAGGGGGAGAAGAACCATTAGAGACGATGGACTCTGAAAAACAAACTGAGGGTTCTAGAGGGGAGGGGGATGGGGGGATGGGTTAGCCTGGTGATGGGTATTAAAGAGGGCACATTCTGCGTGGAGCACTGGGTGTTATGCACAAACAATGAATCGTGGAACACTGCATCAAAAACTAATGATGTAATGTGTGGTGATTAACATAACAATAAAAAAGAAAAAAAAGATTTCACTTATCTACTTATTTAGGTGGCTCAGTCAATTAAGTGTCTGCCTTCAGCTCAGGTCATGATCCCAAGGTCTTGGCACTGAGTCCCACGTTGAGCTCCTTGTTCAGCAGGGAGCCTGCTTCTCCCTCTGCCTGCTTCTCCCTCTGCCTGCCACTCCCCTTGCTTGTGCTCACTCTCTCTCTCTCTAACAAATAAATAAAATCTTTTACTTAATTAGAGAGAGAGAGAGAGAGCACGTGCATGCATGAGCAGGGGGAGGGGCAGAAGGAGAGGAAAGAGAGAATTTCAAGCCAACTCTGCTCCAAGCACAAAGCCCAACTCGGTGCTTGATCTCATGACCCTGAGATCATGACCTGAGCTGAAATCAAGAGCTGGACACCCAACCAACTGAGCCACCCAGGCGCCCTGAATAGATTAAGGTGAAGAATTATTAAGGTGATAAATATTATAAATAACCATAAAGGTTATGAGGAAACAAGTTAGTAGGCTCTTCAAGTACCTTGTGATAAATTTAATTATAAAACCAAATGTATGAATTGAAGATAAAGGTTTTTATGAAAAGAAAAAATATATATTTAGATTGAAGAAACAAAAAGTTCTCTTTCCTGTTCCCCCAAATGAGAGGGAATTTTTGTGTGGGGGGTCAGAATACCCTAGAGGGCTTAAGAAGTTGTCAGTAATACATTAAGATATTTTGAGTGCCAGTTTAAAGGAGAATAATGTTAGAGGATCAGAAAGAAGACCTAATCCCCTAAGCAAGTCAGTATAAAGAGTCTATAGCTCAAATATGGCCAGTAAAATGAAATCTGGGTAAATTAGTCATGACTAACCTTGAGCTAAAATTGGGAAGGGAGATTTGCCTGTGACATTAACAATAGCTTTTTTTCTCAGTCTGATAATTACAAATTCCAATAAACCGTAGCCAGCAATGACTGCAAGTAAGAACCTGATCTATATTTTATCAGTGTAAGAAGAAAAGCCTCTCTTCTCTCTCAAACCATCCATCTTCTGTGCCACTTTGAGAGTATTTCCCCTAGTGCCCTTGACTATACTGCTGCTACAAGAATAGATTACTGACCTTTTTAGAAGCATGTGGGTAAGACAGCCTTACAACTGCCAAATCCCTTGATCTCATGGTTCCCTTACCCTGCATTACAAGCTGTCTCTGGAACTAGTGACATCCTTGTCACTGAAAGTAGTCAAGCAAAGACTTGACAAGACCACACATGGAGGGAATTCCTACATGAGATGAGAGGCCAGATTGAGCTTATTCCAAATCTAAGGTACTTCAAACCTTTGAAACGTTATAATTTAAAAAGACTGTTTCCCATGTGTGAGCCAAGATAAGATTTGAAATTCTGCCAAGAGTATTCTTTTTTTAATGTAGCTAGTAAAGACTTCATACTGCTTGACCTTCTACTTTCCTCTTGCTTCTTGAGAACTCGATATTTCTCCATCTACTGCATCTTTTGTGTCATGCAAAAGAAATCCATTTATATTTAGAAATACAGCAAATATAAAATAACATATCTCATAAGGGCCAACTTGAGTTTTCAGAAGTTCAAATAGGTGATAGAACAGAAACACCAGAAGAAGAAATCAGTGTTAGTAAAAGCAGAGAAAATAAGACTAATTAGGTAAAATTCCATATCAAAAAAGGAATGGTGCATTTTGAGACCTTATCACCTTCGTTTTTATTAGGTCCATCTTTGAAAATGAGTTGAACCTACTAGATACTATAGAGGATGCTAAATTCATAAACCATAACTTTTTAAATTTAGCATGTTTAATATTTCTTCCCATTTCACTTTTTTAACTGCTTTGTAAAAACAAAAACCAAGAGATTCCATATTAAAACTTTTAGTTTAGTTTCAAAGCTAAATATATTTTAAATAAAATTAACTTATAAAATCATGATTATTTAAGTCTACTTTTAAATGACCATATTATAAGCAAACCCAGTTTTGCATAATATATTTTTATGTTCCTAAATTAATAACCTCCTGCAAATCTATATAAAATATCCCCAAAGTGTTAATATGTTTTCCCTTTTTTCAGATTTTATTTTTCTGAGAAAATGAAAAGTCAACCAGGGTTCCAGACTTTCCAGAAGCGCTCTCTGTCTCAATTTGATAGATAGATAGATGATAGATAGATAGATAGATACTGATAAATAGATAAATAGAGATATAGTTGATACACAAACAGATGATGTATAAGGTATAGATGTAGATGCAGTTATATCTACCTCTATCTAATATGCTGGTAAAAATACAGTTTGGCAGTTAAAGCCGTAAGATAACTATGGTTAGAAAGCTTTCAGTATAAAGATATTCACCATAAGATTATTTATACCACTTAAAAATTTGAAACAACTTCTATCTCTAGCAATAAGAATAGCGTAGGGCTTATATCCTTGAGCATTGGAGTCAGATAAACCTGAATTTGAATCCCATGACTTTCACCTATTATCTGTGCAATTTGGGACAAGTTATTTAATCCCTCTGAGCCTCAGTTTCCTCTTTGGTAAAATGGAGAAAACCAGATTTTTTTAAGAGTGTAAGGGCAATGGGCAGGTATAGGCCAGATGTGGACCTCAGTGGCCAGCATTTTCTCACTGTCCATCCTGTAACTATTGGTGAGTGATAGTAAAAGGTCCCTTAGGAGGTGAGACTCTGGATATATTGTGATGCTTATAGTCGTTCCAGTCAGCAAAAACTGATGAATGGAACTAATACTTGCTGGTTTCATATATGTATTTAAATCTTTTCATGTCTTTTGTCAGGGATAAAGATTTACCAGGATCTCTCCCCTGCCAAAACAAAGAAAAGAAGCTGAATGCTTCACAAATGCAAGGTAATGACAATAAGCCCTCAAATGAAAGCACCAGCTAAGGCCCCTTGATAAATCTGATCATTTTCTTCTCTAAGAGAGATCTGCAATTTCAAGAGTTGTCTGTAGTACTCTGCTTTTTGAGAGCAAAATTTCTAATTCAATGTCTAATTTGTGGGAAGGAAGGGGGATTACTTTCAAACAGACAGCTTCCTAGAATTTGGACAGTCCTGGACAAATATTTTTATTCAAATAAGAACTTGTGAGTATACAGAAAACAAATGCAAAGTCAAATAGAAATCAAGTAATGGAGCAGAGTATAAACAGCTATACTGGCTATAGTTTATTAGTCCAAACAGGAAATATTCATGTAAAGCCCACAGTATACTAAGCATGGGAAACATAACAAGTAACGAGTCAGACATGGTCACTGCCCTGATAGGAAGTCCTTCAGGGAAGTCAGACCATTAAACCATGCATTTTTGACTGAAACATTTAAATCACAATATGACACAAATTATGTTGGGGAAGTATAAAGTGTTTTGGGAGCATAAAAGAAAGTCTCCTGACTTGGTCTTGGGAAGATAAGAGGGGAGTCCCAGAGAAGGCGGGATAATAAGTAGGAGGCACACAATGCAAAGGAAGTGTTCTGGGCAGAAAGAGAGAAATCTGCAAAGGCCCAAAGGAAAGGGAAAGCATGACTCCCTGGGAAAAAGAAAAGGAAAGAAAGAAAAGAAGAGAAAAAAGAAAGGGAAGGGAGGAAGGAGGGAGGGAGGGAGGGAAGGAAGGAAGGAAGGAAGGAAGGAAGGAAGGAAAGAAAGAAAGAAAGAAAGAAAGAAAGAAAGAAAGAAAGAAAGAAAGAAAGAAAGAAAGAAAGAAAGAAAGAATGAAAGGGAGGGAGGGAGGGAGGGAGGGAGGAAGGAAGGAAGGAAGGAAGGAAGGAAGGAAGGAAGGAAGGAAGGAAGGAAGGAAGGAAGGAAGGAAGGAAGGAAGAGCCAAGCATGGCTGTGTTTGGGTTCTGGGAAGGCTAAGGCTCCAAGTTTGGAACCAACTGAAAACAAAACAGAAATCAAAGAATCACCTTTATTGCTGGGAAAGCTGGCTTGAAAAACACAAAAGATTATCAAGATCAGAATTACATTTTTCATTGTTAAACTGAGCTAAATGCCTTAATAATGACAGTTTATAGCCTTTTAAACTTTAAGTTTCCTAATGTACATTCATATACATTGGTGCTTGCATTAAGGGTTCCCAGGATCTATTTTTTTTAAGATTTTGCTTATTTTATGAGAGAGAGAGAGAGAGCGCGCAGAAGGGGGTGGGGAGTAGAGGGAGAGAATCTCAATCAGACTCCATGCCGAGCGCAGAGCCTGAGGCGGGGCTTGATCCCATGACCCTGAGATCATGACCTGAACCAAAACCAAGAGCTGGACGCTCAGCCCACTGAGCTATCCAGGCACCCCCCCCCACCCAGGATCTATTTTAATCAGGTATTATCAGACATACAGACACAGAAATGACTGTCAAAGAGGAAGAAGTATCTTATACTCATAGATCCCTAGAAATTAGAGGCACAGCACAGCAGGAAGGGCCCCACAGGGCAGCACGGGAGTCAGTCAGGATGCAAAGAGTCGGGGGAAGCAGGCAAGAGCCTTTCCTGTGGTTTCTGTAGGAAGGAACAGGTTTTAAACAGTGTATGCTGACAATTCTTAAATGTGTATGTCCAGCCCACACCTCTCTTCCCCAGCTCCAGGCTCATATCTGATTGCTTCCCCTCTCTTCCCATTGTATGTCTAATAGGCACCTCAGAATGAACATTTCTAAAACTGAACTCCTGATGCGTTCCTCATACTCTCATTTTTATTGTGGTAAAATACATATAACATAAAAACTACAATTTTAACCATTTTCAAGGGTATATGTACAGGTCAGCACATTAAATATATTCACATGTTCTATAGCCATCACCACATCCACCTCCAGACATTTTCATCTTCCCAAACTGAACCTCCACACCCACCAAACAGTAGCTCCCCATTCTTCCTTCCCCTCAGCCTCTTACTTTTGTTTTATTTTAAGATTTTATTTATTTATTTATTTATTTGAGAGAGCAAGAATGAGAGAGAGAGAGAGAGAGCACATGAGGGAGGGGAGGGTCAGAGGGAGAAGCAGACTCCCCGCTGAGCAGGGAGCCCGAAGCGGGACTCGATCCCGGGACTCCACGATCATGACCCGAGCCGAAGGCAGTTGCTCAACCAACTGAGCCACCCAGGTGCCCAGCCTCTTACTTTTAAAACATGCTCTACCCACAGCCTTCACCATCTCCTTTCACTGTTCTGGAAAAAAATCTTGGGGACATCCTTGACTCTTCTGACTCAGCCTACCTATCAGTCCGTTGGGAAGTCTCATTGGCTCCACCTTTAAAATATATCCGGAAGCAGCCATTTCTTACCACCTGTGCTACAACTGTGGTCTGAGGCACATTGTTGCTCAACCACAATAGCCCCCTGACACTCCTCTCCATACTTCCACCCAAACCCTTACAAAAGTCTATTTTTCTAACATCAGCCAGAGTGATCTTGTTAAAACATAAATCAGGTGGGAGTAAGGGGAGGAGCTGACCAAAGGAACTTGGAAAACGGTGTTTTGACTAGAAACTCTAAGACCAAACACAAAAGGATCTATGCATAAACAACGTACTCTAGCTAGTACAGTTGTTTCTCATAGGGGGATAGCGTAATGATTCTGGAAGTGTTGTACATGTCTACTGGGATGCATAACTCAGTAAATGGATGGTGGATGCTAGGAGCCAGGTTTCCCACTGTTGGAGTGGGAAGTTAGAGATATCAAGGGGAGAAGGCCAAAGTGAACCGGGGGAACTGGCTTCGGTTTGAGACATCAGACAACTCATGTGAACTCAGGTTTAGCTTCATATGGATACAGATGGATGGATCAAGAAATAAATGTGTGTGTGTATACATGTATTAGCATTCATGCATATATTTCCCAGCACTGTCTTCTGAGGGGACTTAGAAGCACTGAAACCCCCATAGCAACAAGCAGACCCAGCACCCAGATCTGGACTTCGAACGCCAGCCTCCTATGAAAGAAGCAGGGTTGCTTGGCCAATTCTAGGGCCCAGGCAGGGAACATACAGGACAAACCTGGAACATCTTGTAGTGACAGAAAAGAAGGAAGCACTCAAAAAACAAAAGGACACAGGAGCTTTTCAGAGGGATGCAGAAGGCAACCTCAAAGGGTTCCCAATGGTGAAAGCTGGAGCAATTTGGGCAACAAAAATAAATAAAATAGTATTGGGTTATAACTCAAAGTATAAAATAAGGGCCTGCAAGTCCACAGAGACAGAAATAAATGACTGAATTTTTTAATGGAGAAGAGACAAATCTTTCTTACAAGAGAATTCCAAATAATGCATGGAGATACTACCTCCTCCAGGAGGTGGAACTTAAATCCCCCTGTCCCCAGCCCTCTGGGCCTTGAGTCTGGACTTCCCTTAGTGACTTGCTTCCAAAGAGTAGAATATGGAAAGGAGGGAAAGTGGAAAACCCTGACAAACACTCCCTCAGCCAGGTAATCAAGATAAACATCATCAGTGGTAAGTCCTCTTGATAATACGTAGCCTTGATAGAATGATGAGAATGGTACTTCACTTTGGTCATCTTCTTTCCAAAAATCCATCATCTCGGGCCATGACCATGAGAAAACCCCAAATTGAGAGACTTCCACAAAATACTTGAACAATACTCCTCAAAACTGTCAAGGTCACCCAAAACAAGGAAAGTCTGAGAAACTGTTACAGAAAAGAGGCTAAAAAGATACGACAACTGGGCGCCTGGGTGGCTCAGTTGGTTAAGCGACTGCCTTCGGCTCAGGTCATGATCCTGGAGTCTCGGGATCGAGTCCCACATCGGGCTCCCTGCTCAGCGGGGAGTCTGCTTCTCCCTCTGACCCTCTTCCTTCTTGTGCTCTCTCTCTCTCTCTCTCTCAAATAAAAAAATTAAAAATCTTTAAAAAAAAAAAAGATACAACAACTAAATGTAATATGGCATCCTGGATGGGATCCTGGAAAAGAAAAAGGGCCTTAGGGAAAAACTAATGAAACCCGATTAATGTCTACAGTTTAGTTAATAACACTACACTAATGTTGGCTTCTTAGATGCAATAAATGTACCACAGTAATGTAAGGTGCTAACATTAGGGGAAACTGGGTGAGGGGCCTACGAGAATTCTCTGGGCTATCTTTGCAACTATATCTAAAACCAATCTAAAATAAAATAACCAACTAGGTGGCTCAGTCGGTTAAGTGGCTGCCTTCGGCTCAGGTGACGATCTTGGCGCCCTGGGATCAAGCCCTGCATCGGGCTGTCTGCTCAGTGTGGAGTCTGCTTCTCCCTCTGCTCCCCTCTCCCACTTGCACTCTGTGCTCACTCTCTCTCAAATAAATAAATAAAAATCTTTTAAAAAATAAATAAATAATATAAAATAAAATCTAAAATTGTAAAACATTACCATACACACACACACACACACACACACACACACACACATTACGTTTCTGACCTCTCCTATTCTTCTGTTGCTCACTCTGCTCCAGCCACACTAGCCTCTTTGCTGTTCCCGGAATATGCCAGACCCATTCCCCTTAGCACCTTTGCTCTACCTCTTTCCTCTGACTGGTCCTCTCCCCTCCCAGAGATCCACTCCCTCACCCCCATCAAATCTTTGCTCACATCTCAGCTATTTAATACAAGCAACCTATCCCTCAATCCCTGGAACTCCCAATCCCCCCGCAACCTGCATTACTTTCTCTTTTTTCCAGAGCACTTACATCTTCTAACCTTCTAACATGCTATGCAACTTACCTATTCATTACATTTATATAAGGGCAAAGGTCTCTGTTTAGGGCACTAATGTATCCTAGGCGCCTGGCAGATAGAAGGCATGCCTACTAACATGCTAAAAACACTGGGAGAGGGGCGCCTGGGTGGCTCAGTCGTTAAGTGTCTGCCTTCGGCTCAGGTCATGATCCCAGTGTCCCGGGATTGAGTCCCACATCGGGCTCCCTGCTCCACAGGAAGCCTGCTTCTCCCTCTCACACTCCCCCTGCTTATGTTCCCTCTCTTGCTGTCTCTCTCTCTGTGAAATAAATAAATTTAAAAAAAAACTGGGAGAAATTAGAAACAAGTCAGAGATGACTCCAGCCCTAGAGAAGCCTGCCTTCAACCAAGGGAGAAAGATGTTACCCACTCACACAATTATAAGGCAGGTACCATTATATCTCTATAGGATGAATGACTCTCATACATGCAGATGCTAACACTTGAATGTGACTTCAGATAAGTTTTATTCTGGTGCCATTTGAGATATACTTTGTTCTGGGTTTATTTCTTCATTCACTAACGTTAGAAAATATGTGTCTAATTTCAGCTCCAGTTAATGCCCTGAGTATGTCTTTGAGTCTATTCAAAACATTCACATGCATATAATTTGGGTCCATTTTGTTGCACCAGTTTTCTGTTGCTGCCATAACAAATTGCCTCAAACTTAGCAGCTTAAAACAACACAAATTTATTATCTCACAGTTCTGTGAACCAGAAGTCCAGATGAGCTTGGCTAGTTCCTCTTCTCCGGGTCTTTCAAGGTCAAAATGAAGGAGCTGGCCACCCTGGCTTCTTATCAAGAGACTGAAGGGGGACCCCTGGGTGGCTCAGGCGGTTAAGCGTCTGCCTTCGGCTCAGGTCACGATCCCAGGGTCCGGGGATCGAGTCCCGCACTGGGCTCCTTGCTCAGCAGGGAGCCTACTTCTCCCTCTGCCTCTGCCTGCCCCTCCCCCATGCTTGTGCACGCACTCTCTCTCTCTCTGATAAATAAATAAAATCTTTAAAAAAAAAAAAGGGAGAGGCTCTGAAGGAAAATCTGCTTCCAAGCTTATTCAGGTTCTTGGTGGAACCTAGTTCCTTGTGGTTCTAGGGTTGTCTCACTTCCTTACTGGCTATCAGCCAGGAACCTTCTCAGCCCCTGACGGCAGTCTGTGTCCCACATCACGTTGCCCCTTCTATCTTCGAACCAGCAAGAGTCCTTCTCATGCTTTGAATCTCTCTGATCTCTCCTTCTGCCACATTTCTCTTGCTTCTAGCTGCCTAGGGGACCCTATGATTAGATTGGGCCCACTCAGTAATCCAGAGTAATTTATCTTAATTATATCTGCAAAGTCCCTTTCATCATATAAGTAATACATTCACAGATTCCAGAAATTAAGGTATGGACTGCTTTCAAAGGCCATTTTACCAACATATTTGGTTTTCCACCAACTAGTTTATTCCAATTCAAATCTCATGGAAGGACATTGTCCTTTATATGAAATGTCTATTAAGTATGCATTTTTGTCTCAATACTTTTTCAGAACATGATGTCCAATCAACTATATAGTCAGTCCTAGTTCCATTAGAATATGTACTTATTCTTGAATAACTGCCTAACTTAATTACATTTCCTCAGCCTTCCGAGATGCCTACAACTTCTTTAACAAGGATAAAACTGGCTGTATTGATTTACATGGAATGATGTGCACTTTAGCTAAGTTGGGAATGAATCTAACCAAGCATGATGTCTATAATGAATTAAGATGTGCTGATATTGATCGTGAGTACTTTGACTTGTAATTATTTTTCTCATAAAAGGTTTTTATAAATATATATTTTTCTTTCAGTGGTTATATAAACAAATATACCTCATTATCAAAAGTACGCATATGGGGGCGCCTGGGTGGCTCAGTTGGTTAAACGACTGCCTTCGGCTCAGGTCATGATCCCGGGGTCCTGGGATTGAGCCCCGCATCAGGCTCCCTGCTAGGCCAGAAGCCTGCTTCTCCCTCTCCCACTCCCTCTGCTTATGTTCCCTCTCACGCTGTCTCTCTCTCTCTCTCTCTCTCTCTCTCTCTCTGTCAATTAAATAAATAAATAAAATCTTTAAAAAAAAAGTACCTATATGTGTTTCTCTTTAAGGATATCAGTAAGGTATATGTACAAGTTACAAAATCAAATTAATGCAAAAAAATCAAATTAATGCTACAAAATGGACTATTTGAAAAATCTTGTATAGAAACTAAAAGTGACTATCACATTTCAATACTAAATTCAGATTACCTATCATGATATACATTTTGGAGGGTGCCTTGAAATAACAGATACAAAGGCATTGACAGTTTCAAAAATGACACATTACCAAGAAAATCCAAGCCCTTTGTTTCCATTTGAATCATATTAGTACAAATCTTCCTTTGATCTTTAGAGCCCACCTATATTGAATTTTAAATGCCACAGCATTTTTGTTGCTATTTTTAAAGCTTTTAGATAATATTTCCTTTGAATATACTGACCTAGTGAAGATAGCCCAAGCTGATATGTTGTTTGGAATATATAGTCAGCAAATCATCTCCTCTCACCTCTCCCCACCCAACTGCCAGTGCCCCATTCAATTAGCATAAACTCCACATATGAATGAGCATCACCAGTTAATTAAGGTGTCACTTGTTTCCACTAACTGCCCAGTTTTCCTGTTCTTGCATCGAAACACACACACATGCTTCTAATAGCACTATCCTATAAGTCAGAGGAGACTGGGTACAATTTGGGGATGTTAGAATAATAGAAATACCAGAGGTGGGTATGGAGTGGGAAAGCAGGAGTGGATTCCTTGCAAAAATGGCAAGTCTTTCAGAAAGGAATGAGTGGGTAGGACTGCAGGGACTGGGAGCCCCTCATTTGATGTTTATACCCCACCATTGCTTCTGGCGGCTGTGGGTGACTCACGTAACGGTGCCAAAACCACTTCAAGAAGACCAGTGCTTCCCTGAGCGCATCACCAGCCTTAACATGCTGTCTCATTGTTTTTTAAGATTTTATTTATTTATTTGACAGAGACACAGCAAGAAAGGGAACACAAGCAGGGGGAGTGGGAGAGGGAGAAGCAGGCTTCCCGCAGAGCAGGGAGCCCGATGCGGGGCTCGATCCCAGGACCTTGGGATCATTACCTGAGCTGAAAGCAGACGCTTAACGACTAAGCCACCCAGGCACCCCCATGCTGTCTGATTTTAAGTATTGAATAGTCCAAGGTGTTTTCATTTTATATTTAGTATATAATCTGATGACTAAAATGCATCTTATATCCTTGTTCTGAGCCTTAGATTTCTGTTGCAGGAGATGGGAAAGTGAATTTCTCAGACTTTATAAAGGTGCTAACAGATAAAAACTGCTTCCTTAAAGCTGTGGGTGAGTAAAGATATTGCTGAACATGGCTGTTGGGTGGCTGTGATTCGCTGCATTGTAACCATTATTCATTTAGGCCTCTGAGCAGGAGACAAGTGAGGAAGGGGTACTCTGGCATGAGATTTACTGTTGTACTACTTCTCCAAAACAACATTTGCTAAGCAAATTGATAGAGTTTTAGAATTTTAACTTAAGTGCATCAAGTCCTTCTGCAGGAGACACTGCTTTTTGGTCTCCAATGAGGAACACTTGGAATAGTGTAGAAAAATTCCATCACCTCTTATAATATTCTTTACCAAGTGCATGTGCTACTTTAGAAGGTACTCCCTTTACAAATGAAAATTTTTTTAGAAAAAGATAAATGCTCTCTTTCATGCAAACTGGGGGGTATCAATAATTCACTATTCCCAAAAAATTTCTTCCTCACCCTGATGAAGTCTGCCCTTGGTGAGAGGACGGGAGAGTTGGCTGGAGGCTAAAGAGCATGTTCTCACACAAGGTTGTAAGTGGATGTGGAGGTGTCCTTGACATACTGTTATTTAAGTCCTCTGATGGTTTGTTTATGAGTTTTACAGTCTGCCTTGGAAAAACTAACCACAATTTGTGTCATGTTTTCTGGGATAAATACATACCAAATTCCAAATACTGTGTACAGTTTTGAAAATACATTCATTCATAGGCAGTGAACTGTCCTTAGAAGAGACAGAAGCTACTGCTTCAAGTACTACTGTAGTAACGAGGGTTTGCCTGCAAGCCTGAGATACACTGATCAGCAATTCCTTTACCCAGAAGAACAAGACAATAGTCCTTAATACATAAATCATGTTTATGTTAAATGTATTAACTTACAAGTCAATATTTACTTAGAAGTCATGGAACTAAAAGCATTTTTTAATGATTATTGTGTCTGTTCAACAATCAAAATGACCTTTCTACCAAATAGAACAGATTTTGTTGTGTTTTTTTTGTTTGGTTTGGTTTGGTTTTTTTAAAGATTTTATTTATTTGACAGCGAGAGAGGGAACACAAGCAGGTGGAGAGGGAGAGGGAGAAGCAGGCTTCCCGCTGAGCAGGGAGCCCGATGCAGGGCTGGATCCCAGGACCGTGGGACCATGACCCGAGCCGAAGGCAGACACTTAACGACTGAGCCACCCAGGTGTCCCAAATAGAACAGATTTTGAATGTTTTTCTATAATTCTCTAGTACCTGGCTCAGTATTAATATTGTAAATAGACTAAAAAGACTGTCGACTTACTACTTTCTTTGATAGATGTTTTTTTCAGAAGGCATTTTGCATTTTTTTCCCCTTCACAGTTCCAGAAAAGGAGAAATGTTTAGATTCAGCTGGCAACCCAGGGATCCTGTTGTTTGAAATCCTATCAAAGCTTGTAGAGACTTCAGCTTTACCCAGAAAGGCTATAATGGAAATAGTAAGGTAAGTGGCAAAGAAGGGTAAAATTGGCCTTCTTAGGAGCACTTAGGAAGCTATTTACAAGGCAGTCACCTCTGATTAACATCCTCCTCCACGGGGTCTGCTCCAAAACAAAGGAGGAGTCTGTGGCAAAGCTCACATGCCACATGGGACCTTATTCCTTCATCCCAACTGTGCTAACTCTGAAATTGCAAGACTGACCTCAGAGCATCTCAGGGCCCACTGAGGGCCTAAGATAGCCAAGAAGGTTCAGACTCTTCTACCCTAAGCTAGAGAATCCCAGAAGAATAAAACTTTTCCAGGGATGACTTCGGGTGGGCTTGGAAATCTAGTTCAGAAGACACTCCCATTTGTGCTGGAATGACCAGGGGCTCTTTTGACTCTGGGATGATGTAGAGCAATTTCAGACCTCCCAAAGTAGCCTTTGGACTGGAGCTGAGCCAGAACTGAACTTGAGAATAGAGGATGAAGAAACATTCTCACACCCAAATGTGTTTTATTCCAGCAAACACCACTAAAGATAAATTTCCTCAAACTATTTATATCATTGTATTATAGATATTGAATATTGCTGTTATCAAGCCTTTTAGCTCATATTCTTTCAAAGCATTCTGCTTCCCCTTTTAGACTTAAAAATACAGAATGTTTTCAGAATCCTCAATGGATAATCATCTCTCTATGCTATCCTCTATTTGTCAGGTGTGGAACCAGAGGGTACACAAAATTCTCTTCATTCCATTTCAAAGGCATTTCTTAAATGCCTGTTGTTGGTATACAAATTTGACACATTGCTTAACTTCTCAGCCTTGGTTTCCTCACCTATAAAATGGGAACAACAATAATAATACCTACCTTAGAATAATAATAATAATAATAATACCTACTTTATAGGGCAGTTGTGGGGATAATATGTGATAACGCAGGTGAAATGGTTCAATAAATATTCCTGGAGCTAGGGGCGCCTGGGTGGTTCAGTCGGTTAAGTGTCTGCCTTCAGCTCAGGTCATGATCTTCAGGGTCCTGGGATCAAGCCCCGCATTGGGCTCCCTGCTCAACTGGGAGTCTGCTTCTCCCTTTCCCACTCCCCCTGCTGGTGCTCTCTCTCTCTCTCTCAAATAAATAAAATTAAAAAAAAAAATTCCTGGAGCTCAATATATATAATTATGTGGAAGTAGCTAGAATAGTCATAGAGCATATATATTATCTGTTTTAATCCTCACTTCCTTAATGGGTACTATTATCCTCATTTTACAGATGAAAAACCTGAAGTACAGGTATTAAGTAACTTGCCCAAGGGGCAGTGGTGCCTAGATTTTAGCACAGTCTGATTCTAGAACCCATGCTCCTATCCACCCCCCTAGACTGCCTCTCAGGAAATCTTAGCTGATGGTGTTTTTATTATGATGATGATTATGGTTGTTACTTTTCATGTACCTGGTTTCTAAGGAGATCAAGTGTTTAATACGTAGCATTTGCATTTAAGGAACTTAAAATATAAATTGAGAGGAAAAAGCCATAAGTATGTAGATACAAAATATATCACATAATTAACTGTCAAATGAGTGGCAAAGATCATTCATTTAGTTTCTAAGATAGCCGATCTTGAGCTGGATAATGGTAGAATTTGAAAAGTATTCCCATAGTTGACTATAGCATTTATTGAGTATTACGTGCAGAGTTCTGAGTGTGCGCTTGACATGCATTAACTTTTTCCTGGATCACTGTCTCCTAACCGGTCTCCCTGCTTGCACCTTTTGACTCCCACCCCCATGACTTGCCGGCTCCACAGTCTGTTCTCAACACTTCCTCTGCCTGGCTGATGCCTTGACGCCTACAGCACCAAATGATCCTTTTAGCACCGTGTTGGATCATGTCACTTCTCTACTCAGAACCTTCAAAACCCTCCCATTTCCCTCAGAGTACAAGCCTCACACTTCACATGACTTACTGGCCCTCCAGGTGATCTGCACCCACCTCTGACCTCTTTGTCTTTGCCCCTGGTACTCCGCTCAGTCCGTGCTGGCCTCCTTGCTGCTGCTCCGTCACTCCCCACATCCAGCTAATCACGAAGTCCCACCCGTTTGACCTCCTAAACCTGCCTCACAGCCCTGCACTTCTCCCTAGCCCCATGCTGGGGAGAGGGCGGGGAAAGAAGCAAAGGACTGAGGACAGAACCACAAGGAATTCCCATACTTGTGGAATGGAAAGAAACAGAGGAGTCAGCAAAGCAAACATTAGTCATCAAGGAGGGAACCAGGACGGTGTGAAGTCGGAAGCCAGGGCCACAGACAAATCTAAACCAGGACAGACCTTCCCCCAGTATTAAATGCTAAAGTGAGGCCAAGTGAAGTCAGGACTGAAGGGGTAGAGTTAGATTTCGTGGTTAAGATGGTAGTTAAGAAGTCATAAGGGGGGCGCCTGGGTGGCTCAGTCATTAAGCGTCTGCCTTCCGCTCAGGTCATGATCCTGGAGTCCCAGGGTCGAGCCCCACGTCCGGCTCCCCGGAGCAGGGAGCCTGCTTCTCCCTCTGACCCTATCCCCTGCTCATGCTGTTTCTCTCTCTCTCTCTCTCTCTCCTCTCACTCTCTCAAATGAATAAATAAGATCTTTATAAAAAGAATTAATTTAATTAATGTGTCTGCATATAACTTGCAACTAGACTTTTTTTTCTTTTTGTCCAATACTTAGACACTTTTTCAGCAGGACTATATAGCACTTTCTATTCTTTTTTTGGATTACTTTTTTTTTTTTTTTTAGCTATTTCCGAAGAAAATTCCAAGATACCACGTCAGGAAGGTCGTGGAGTCCCTACACTATGGGTTTTGGGAAAAGGAGATTTAAACCAGACATATGCACACCTCCAAGCTCAAGCACGGCCGCCTTTGCTAATGCTGCCCGAATCACAATAATGAAAGAAAAGGATTTACTTACATTTCTTGAAGAGCTCAAGAGTAAGAACGATTTGTCCTCTCCCCCTTGTTGTAAAGGATTTATTTGTATATTCCTGGTCAGAAATAAATACTAGAGGCCAAATGCTAAAGAAGCAGGACCACAGCCTATTCTGAGTGACTGGTCTCTGTCACACAGATATCATTTGAAAGCAAACCCACGTCTTCACCTGAATCCTCCTGATACAGGTGAAGCCTGGAGTCTGGATGAAGCCTAGACTCTACGTATGGGGAGGGAGGTGAGGAGAGTGAAGAGGAAGGTCATGGCCACTGCGAAGACTAGACAAAGCAAAGTAGACACCACATGTGTGTCTTTTATGCGAATTTCTTCTTACACTGTTCATAATACCATTTTTGGTTTTTTGTTCTGTTTTGTTTTGTTTTTATCTTTTAAGGGTGCAGTCCTCCTTCAGGTAGCCCATATTCAAAAATACCCATCTTTCCATTGTTTCCTAATGTGGATGGGGTGGTGATGGGAAAGCCATTCAAAGACATACAGAAATTAGAAATGCTAAGGAGAAGGGAGCCTCTGGATTTCTTTGAGAACTACTTTTTCCGTAAAAGAGACTGGAAGACACAGGTAAGATTTTGGTTGTGTCACATTAGTTAATTTAAATACTTAGGTTTTCAAGTTCTAACTTAACAGAACTAATACTTTTTTAATGACAAACATTTTCAGTCATTATATTTCAAACCAGATTCCATAGCCATGTTCCTAAATTTAAGCCCAGGTATAAATATTTCATTTAATTTCAACAAATAGTTAAACTTACTGAAAAATACAACCTTAGGCTTGGGGTTAGAGGTGGGGAGTATAAGAATAATAATAAAAAGGCCCTCAGATCCTACCTACACCTGCTCTCCCTTCAACCTAGTGGCCAGAAGTTGCATTTTGGGCTCCCTCAACTAGCTCTAGATCTTGTTCTAGATCTTGGCTGGGCCAGATACCATGGGATGAGAGGACCAGGTCCACAACCCAGTGGCACAATCTGTGATAGAGTGGCCATCCTGCTCTTGGACTAGACCCCTAATTATAGTCCTGGCTACACCTTCTGGCCTACCTCAAGCTCTGAATGTTAAAGTCTCAGGCAGCCAGGCCTTGGTTTCCGGGTATTCTCTGAGGAAGCTCTGGCCTCAGTCCTGGCTTATGACAGGCCTCCCAGCCTGCAGAACATCAAGATTTCACTGGAGGGGCACCTGGGTGGCTCAGTCGGCTAATCATCTGCCTTCAGCTCAGGTCATGATCCAGGATCCTGGGATCGAGCCCCACCTCAGGCTCCCTGCTCCGCGGGAAGCCTGCTTCTCCCTCTCCCGCTCCCTCTGCTTGTGTTCTCTCTCTCTCTCTCTCTCTCTCTGTCGAATAAATAAATAAAATCTTTAAAAAAAAAAAAAAAGAAAGATTTGACTGGAGACCGGTGAGGCATCTCTGGGTTCCAGAAATCCATGTGGTGTTCACATCACTATGAAACCTCTTAGAAGTCCCTCCAGGCGTAGAGTTTAAGAGTTCCCTGAGGCCCGGGGCAGGGGTTAATGGGGAGCTGCTAACCAATGGGCATACAGTCTCAATTATGCAAGATGAGTAATTCTAGAGATACGCTGTGCAACACTGTGCCTATAGTTAACAAAACGTATTGTACACCAAAAATGTGTTAAGAGCAAAAATCTCATGTTAAGTGTTTTTACCATAATAAAATAAAAATTGTTTTTTAAAGATTTTATTTATTTATTTGAGAAAGAGAGAGCACGAGAGTGGGGTGAGGGGCACAGGAAGAAGCACACTCCCCAGTGAGCAGGGAGACCAACGTGGGACTCGATCCTGGGACTCCAAGATCATGACGAAGCAGAAGGCAGATGCTCAACCGACTGAGCCACCCAAATAAAAAATTTTTAAAGATTCTAGGGGAAAACAGGTGCTGGCAAGGATGTAGAGAAAGGGGAACCCTCTTGTACTCTTGGTGGGAAAGCAAACTGGTGCAGCCACTCTGGAGAACAGTATGGAAGTTCCTCAAAAAGTTAAAAATAGAACTACCCTATGACCCAGCAGTTGCACTATGAGGTATTCATCCAAAGAACACAAAAATACTAATTTGAAGAAATACATCACCCCAATGCTTATAGCAGCATTATCTACAATAGCCAAATTATGGAAACAGCCCAAATCTCCACTGATACATGAATGGATAAAGAAGAGGTGGGGTGTGTGTGTGTGTGTGTGTGTAGATATATATATATCTTTTTTATGACTGAGCAATATTCCATGGTGCATAAAGAATGAAATCTTGCCATTTGCAACAATGTGGTTGGAACTAAAGAATATTATGCTGAAGGAAATAAGTCAGAGAAAGACAAATACTGTATAATTTTACTTATATGTGGAATTTAAGAAACGAAACAAACAAGCAAAGGGGAAACAAAGAGAAAGAGAGAGAAGCAAGAAACAGACTCTTAACTATAGAGAACAAACAGTACCCAGAAGGGGGGTGGGTAGGGGGATGGGTTAAATAGGTGATGGGGATTAAGGATGCACTTGTTGTGATGAGTACCAGTGTTGTATGCAAGTGTTGAATCACTATATGAAAAAAAACTATTTTTTAAAGATTTTATTTATTTATTTGAGAGAGAGAATGGGAGAGAGAGAGCACATGAGAGGGGGGAGGGTCAGAGGGAGAAGCAGACTCCCTGCTGAGCGGGGAGCCGGATGCGGGACTCGATCCTGAGACTCCAGGATCATGACCTGAGCTGAAGGCAGTCGCTTAACTAACTGAGCCCCCCAGGCGCCCTCACCTGAAACTATTATTACACTGTATGTTAACTAACCAGAATTTGAATAAAAACTTAAAAAAAAAAATAGACTCTGGAGGAGTATCACAGTCACAAATGACCTTAAGTTCAGACTTTGAATTTATCTCTCCAGATGAAGTCATACCCACAGGCAGATATCACCGACAAGTTGGAAATAAGGGGAACTTTATTCCCCTTTAAATTTATTTCCCAACACTAAGCCCTCCACCTGTGATCATTATCTGTTTACTGTCAATCTCTCCAACCAGAATATATGGTTCATGTAGGCAAGGACTTTATTTCTTTCACTGAAGGATCCCTATCACCTAGAATAGAACCTGGCCCATAGGAGACTCAGTATCTTTTAGATGAAAGAAAATTATAATACAAAGCCTTTATTGAGAGCAAGATTGTCTCTAATCATATCAGCAGAGATAGTGTCCATAGCTTCCTAAATGGTCCACTTCTATCTTTGTCCTCTGCAGTCTATTCTCAACACAGCAACCAAAGTGGCTCCACTAAAATCAGCTCAAAACTTGCCAATGATTTTTCACATTACTCAAAGTAAAAGCCAAAATCCTTACTGTAACACTCAGGGTCCTACACAATCTAAACTTGAGTCTTCCAATAATGGTAGCCACAGTGGCTATTTAAATTTACATTTAAAGGTCACCTGGATGGCCCAGGAGGTTAAGCATCCAACTCTTGATTTCAGCTCAGGTCATGATCTCAGAGTCCTGGCATGGATCCCAGCATAAGGCTCCCCACTCAGCAGGGAGTCTGCTCCCTCTCCATCTGCCCCTCCCCACCCTACACACACACTCTCAAATAAATAAATAAATCATTTTTTTAAAGATTTTATTTATTTAGGGGTGCCTGGGTGGCTCAGTCGTTAAGCATCTGCCTTCAGCTCAGGTCATAATCCCAGCGTCCTGGGATCGAGCCCCACATCGGGCTCCCTGCTCCGCAGGAAGCCTGCTTCTCCCTCTCCCACTCCCCCTGCTTGTGTTCCCTCTCTCGCTGTGTCTCTCTCTGTCAAATAAATTTAAAAATTTTTTTAAAATAAAAATAATAAAAAATAAAGATTTTATTTATTCACGAGAGACAGAGAGAGGCAGAGGCAGAGGGATAAGCGGGCTCCCCGCGGAGCAGGGAGCCCAATGCTGGGACCTGGGATCAGGACCTGAACCAAAGGCAGACACTTAACTGACTGAGCCACCCAGGAGTCCCAATAAATTAATCTTTTATAAAAAAAGAAAAGACCTGGTGATGGGTATTAAAGAGGGCACGTATTGAATGGAGCACTGGGTGTTACAGGCAAACAGTGAATCATAGAACACTGCATCAAAAACTAATGATGGGGCGCCTGGGTGGCTCAGTTGGTTAAGCGACTGCCTTCAGCTCAGGTCATGATCCTGGAGTCCCGGGATCGAGTCCCACATCGGGCTCCCTGCTCAGCGGGGGGTCTGCTTCTCCCTCTGACCCTCTTCCCTCTCATGCTCTCTCTCATTCTCTCTCTCTCAAATAAATAAATAAAACCTTTAAAAAAAAAAACTAATGATGTAATGTATGGTGATTAATATAACATAATAAAATTAAATTAAAAAAAGAAAAGAAATGAATCATGGAACACTACATCAAAAACTAATGATGTAATGTATGGTGATTAACATAACAATAAAAAATTTAAAGAAAAGAAGAATTACTGGTTTGGGGAGTACTAATCAACAAGAACTAAAATACTATACACCACAGTGACACAGGAGATGAGGAGGGTGGTACTCAGATTTGAAGCTTCCTATATTTTGTTAAATTTATAATGAGTGTTAAAAATGTGAGGATAATCACTAAAATGAATCATGAATAATTTAATGAATAATCATTATAGTGAATAACTGTTGAACAGAAGGGGGAAGGACTAAGAAAAAAGAGAAAACATGGAATAATAGAAAGTGCGAAATAAAATAGGCAGAAAAATCCAAATATATCAATAATCACAATAAAAGATTAAAACATACTAGTTTAATTAAAAAGTATTAAAAAGAAAAAATAGACAATGGTTCATCTTTCAAGTCTAAAAAAAGGATACTGAGACTGATTTTTAATAATCTTCAGATATCTGTTCTTTAAAGGAGACACATCTAAAATACAACACAAAGTTTGAAAGTAAAAGGCCAGGAAAAGGTACATCAGACAAATACAAATCGGAGTGAGCTGGTATCAGTATATTAGTATGGGGAAAGTACAATTTAAGGAAAACGTAACTAAAGATAAAGATGCTATTTAATTATTTTTTTAAATTGTCAGGAAGATATATCTATCTTGAACCTGTATGCACCTAGCAAATTGACAGATAAGGTGACAATTCACAGAATTGTAAGGATCAACTTTAGACTTTTTTTTTGGCATTATGCATGCTAAAAAAGTGAATACACAAATCCATAATCACAGTGGGAGATATTTATCATGTATCTCTAGAAACTAAAAAAGCAGACCAAAGGGGGATAAAAAGGAAATCAGCTCATTTTACAAAAAACTGTACCTGTTAAGGAAGAGAGACATGGAACATGAAGAATCAGAATCTAGAAAAAGTTGTTTCGGGACAGGGGAACTTGAGCACATTAGTAGCCAGGAGGAAGGGCCCTTAGAGCTGTGGTTCTCAATCCGGGCTGCACAACAGAACCACCAAGGAGAGCTTTTAACTGCCCTGTGTCCAGTCCAGGCCACAGCCCTATCCAATTAAATCAGATATTGAGATGGGGCTTAGGCTTTGGTATTTTTAAAAGTTCTAACATGCAGCCAAAGCTGACAACCACTGGCCAAGGAAGACAAACTGAAGATGTAGGAGAGAGGCAGGACTGGGTACGTAATTTGTGGAGCCAAGGGCAAAATGGAAATATAGGGCCCCTTGTCCAAAAATTACTAAGAATTTAAAGACTGCAACAACAGAGCAATAAGCCAAATTCAGGGCCCTTCTGGTCCTATGGGATTGCACAAGTCACACACCGATGAAGCCAGCCAGGGAACAAGGAAAATCGAAGGGAAATGGTCCAGGAGGGGAATTAATAAAGATACAGGGGGGAGAGTTTGGTCTTGGAAATCAAAAAGAAACTCTCACATAGAAGAGGCAAAGAGGAAAAATCAGGCTACCCAATGGAGAGAAATCCTAAGGTGGAGAGAAGAGTGAAAAGAATTCATGTTAGCTAGTCCTGGAGAAATAATCATTAGCCGATCTGGTTTTCCAGCAGCCACTAAGAAGACAGCTCTGTAAGAGCTTAACTGTACCTGTTAAGGAAGAGAGACATGGAACATGTCTGTAAGAGAATTAACAGCACCCAGTGAAGGAAAGTAGGGTGAAGCAGTACTAACAGCCTGGATGAGACTGGGTACTACACATCTTCAAAGAAAGCAATCCACATATTTACATGATTTCCACCAGCATTGTTCAGCAGCCCAGGAACAGGGAAAATAGACAGCTGGTTCCCCAGTGGAAGTTTGGAAGTAATATAGGTTGTATTCTGTGGAGGGCACCTTCTTCACTTTTCAGTGCTTGGTGATGGCTTGGAAATTTGGGGGAGGATAGAGTTGGCTCTTCTCTACCCTCCAATATCCATTCCACATATAAACCATCTTCTGGTCTACACTTCTGAGTAGGCTTCATCATTATAAAAGAGAATTTGCTAAATGCTCAGTTACACATGGTGCTATACCAGGTGCCCCAAAACAATGGACAAGTGGCTTAGCAATAACCTTATAAATCACATACAAACCCCTTCCTGATACGACATATTTCTGTTTATTATGTCTTTGTTGTATATTTAACCCAAAATATATCACTAACCTTCTTTGTGTGTGTGTGTGTGTTCTTTGTGTGTGTGTGTGTGTGCATAAAGGCAGCAAATGTAAAGCCTATCGACCCAGTCTCAGGCTATCCAAGTGACATCCTAGCCATTGACCAAATACTCAAGAAAAAGCAGAATTGGACAGTGACGGATGCAACTGCTATTAAACAGCACGTGAGTATTCACTGTTGCATGCCTTCCCAGAACGCGTTGACCAGAATATTTTCTACTTCAATACTACAACCATCCCAAAGATATTTTTTCTGCTCTATGTCTTTAAAATAAGACAAGGTCATTTCTCATTTTTACCCATTGTGCTTCTTGCTCTGTGATCAAATGGATTCAAATGTTAACTGTTATAATTCATCCTGCTAATCACCCATGGAACCATACACAGCATCGTTTCTGGGACCTTCGTTTGTGTCATGCTGGAAATAGCAACTAATTAAAGCAGCAAACCAGCAGTCACAGTGAGCAGGTGTACTAAGGGAATCATGATGAGTGAAAGCATCTTGATTATAGCAGCTAAAAGAAGAAGAGTTTGAGTGCACTTCCTAGATGCCAGGCACGGTGCTCTAGAAGTACTCTACAAACATTAATTAATTTACCTATCACAACAGTCCTTCCGGATGGGTGCTGTTATCATTGTCATTTTATAAATATGCAAGAGAGGTTGACTTGTCTAAAGGCAGAAGTAATAGAGCCAGAATTATAAACATGAGCAGCTTGGCTCTAGCATCCACACTTTTAACTGCAACTCTATGCTGCCTATCTACTTTTGTGCCCCGACGTCTTAGCAACTTTTGTACTCCACAGAGACAGACTGAGGTGTATGTATTTCATGCTGCCTCCCTTCTGCATTTTTTTAATATTTTATTTATTTATTTATTTGAAAGAAAGAATGAGATAGAGAGAGTACATGAGACGGGGTAGGGTCAGAGGGAGAAGCAGACTCCCTGCTCAGCAGGGAGCCCGATGCGGGACTCGATCCCGGGACTCCAGGATCATGACCTGAGCCGAAGGCAGTCGCTTAACCAACTGAGCCACCCAGGCACCCTCCCTTCTGCATTTGACACTAGTGATCAAACTCTCCTTGGCATTTTCTCCTTCCTCGGCCTTTATAAATACCACATCTTGCAGCTCTGTGTCCCTTCCTCTCACTTCACTTTCCTGAATGTTCACCCCTTAAGTCTTGATATCTCCTTGTTTTCTAGTCCCATCCTACTGCCCTTCCCATTATATGCACTCATCCATTCATTTTTTTAGTAAGTATTTATACATTATTAATAAAGTTCTAGGATTAGGGGATGCCACGGGGGGTACATAGCTCCTGCCCTCCATGATCTTGAGCTTGGAGTGAGGGTGGAAGAGAAGAAAATATGCAGTAGTAATATACGGGAATAAATGAAACTGTAGGTCGTCAGTACTGCCTGCCACAGAGGAGTGGGCTCCCAACCTCTGTCTCATCATGGCACATATTCATGCTGGAGTAAATGGAGGCTGCTAATAGCCAGAGACCTCCAGTCTACAGCAGCAGCTGCCCCAAGGGCTAAGAAGCTTGAGAAGATCAGTAATGTGTCATACCTGTAACCCAGCAGAACATGGGGAATCTCTGTGTTAAGTGAAGGAAAAACTAGGGCAAGTATTCTTCAGACAATCTCAGTCTACCCTCCTTGTTTCAGCTGCCACCTATATCCTGATAACTCTTAAATTTGTCACTAGCCTAGACTTCTCTCCAGTACTTTTGACTTATCTCACTGCCTGATGAATATTTTTACCTGTCTCAGCATATCAAACTCTACATATCTAAACCAAACTCATCATCTGCATCAAACTGGCTCTTCCCTTGGGGATTCTTCTTGACATCGGGTGTTGATACCACTATCTACCCTGTCGATGAAACTAGAAGGCGAGGAATCATCCTAATTTATATATTGTCCTTACTCGTCACATCCACCTATGACCAACTGTGGCTACTCTTGTTCTCCTGAAGATTTTTCAAATCCATCCCCTTCATCCTACCACTACTGCCTTAACTGAGGCCCTCATTCGGTCTTGCCTGGACAACACCCTCCAACCTCCTACCCCTGCCTCACAGCTTCTCCCCTCCACCCATTCTCCACACAGCTGCTAATGATCTATTATGAAGGTATAGCTATATCCCTGTCCTGCTTGCAGATGAATCTTTCCCTCTCAACAATGGCAGGATTTCTCAACTATATTTTCTGCTCCACACACCGAGATTTGTCTCACTTCCATCAGAAATAGTGGCTTACAGGGGAGCCTGAGTGGCTCAGATGGTTAAACCTCTGCCTTTTGCTCAGGTCATGATCCCAGGGTCCTGGAATTGAGCCCCGCATTGGGCTCCCGGCTCAGCGGGGAGGCTGCTTCTCCCTCTCCCTCTGCTCTCCCCCTGCTCATTCTCTCTCTCTCCTTCTGTATCTCTGTGTCTCAGATAAATAAACAAAATCTTTTTAAAAAAATAAAAAAGAATGCTTAAAAAAAAAAGAAAAGAAATAGTGGCTTACTACAGATTGATTTTCACTGAGAAAAGGGCTCTCTCAGCCTCACTGAGATCAAGTCTAAGGGCCCCTACAGCAGACAACGTTTTGCTTGCCTTGCCTGCATCATTCCTTCCCTCTCACTTTCAAAACTCGACATTTTAGCACTACCAACATGTTTGTGCCTCCTACCAACTCCAGAGGCTTGTTACCTCTGCCTTTGTTTATGCTCTCTCTTTCCCTGCAACACCTTCCCATCACCACTGACTCCCTCAATCCGGTTAAATCCTCTAGGAACTACTCAGCATCTTCTCCCTCCCTGCCCTAGGCTGGAGTGAGTGCCATCCTTGGCACTCCTTTTATCTCCAGAGACTATCTCCATCCCACATTTCCTCCTTGGTTTAGTTTATTGTGTTTTTAATATTGTCATAAATGTCTTATCTCATTATTCCCAAATCATACATTTTGATTGTCCATCAGCTCCTAACTCACATGTCCTCAGGAGGTTCCACCCAATGGATAAACTCGGTGATTTTCACCTAGCCTGGGAATGTAACTCTTGGGATGTCTAGAATTGTGGTTCATAAGTCAAAGATATGTTAAGCTAACTACTGCAAATGTCTGTTCTCTCACTGCAGGTGAAGAGAGCTACTGATGCCTATAACTTGGGAATTGCCCTTGAGCACCGGAAAGACATGCTAAACCTCTGGCGGAAAATCCGAGGGGATCTGATTGGAGTAGACACTAAAAATGAGTCCTTTTATGACACCTTTTCTACTTATACGTGGTCCTGGAATGTTTGCCAAGAATTACTTTCGCCGAAGGACTTAAGGTTATGTGATGCCCACATGAAAAGGAATACCTTCCACAACTCTGTATTCTCTTCTTCCTCGGATATCAGTGAGTGTGACACAGAGACAGGAAGAAAAAGAAAACGGAAAGCTTTCAAAGGGTTTCGACAATGAAATTTCTACATTTTCTAAACAGCTCATTGCAAACTACTTTTTCATAGATATCAAAATTACGGTTTCTTGCTTTTGTCTAGTACATTCTTAGCCGCTGGAAATGTTGACATCTTTTGGATTCTGACCAGTAAAAAAGTTTAAGTCATAATGTGGTTTCCCTTTCCTAATTCTGAACGAGTAACTAGAGGCGATGCAGTTACCTTCCCAGGAAACGGCTGCGCTGTGCTGCCCCCACCTGGCTCAAAACTGCCTGGGCAGAAGGAGAAAAGCCGCAGGCAGGCACTTACCTCAACACAGGGCTGCCTCTCTGAGCCCCTATAGGGCTCTCCCAGCAATAAGCGTCTGAGTTTATGAGTTTAAGTGACATTGGGTTTTTGATTATTTGTAAAAGAGGCCAGAGGCAGCAGATGACAATGATCTTTCAGTTCCAGGGGATAATATCACCATCTCCCAGGGAATCTTGATTAAATTTGGGTGTTCCTAAGGCTCCTTAGTCACACGTCATAAGGCTGATCTCTTGAATCCCTCTTAAAAATAGTTGATCTCACCATTACACTTGTTGCTGTTGTTCTTTAGTGTATTTAATAAAGATGCACATGTATAACTGTGTTACAAGTTTGGGAGGTGTACTTTTTTATGGTGGAAAAATACGCATAAAATTTACTATTTTAACCCTGTTTAGGGATTATCATCCATTACATTTTTTTCCCTGTTAGAAAAAGGAAAAGACATGTTCCATATTGATGGAGACAGTGGCTTATAATATAAAATCGCACCATGCCAGAAAAAAGTAATGACAATAGTGAAGACTCCTAAAACTATTTAATGAAATGGACTTGAAGTAAATTTGTGTTAACCTTGAATATTCAAAACTGTCTAAATATATTTGCTGTTCTTTACAATATTGTGATGTTGAGAAAGAGAACCTTGGGGTACCTGGGTGCCTCGGTCAGTTGAGCGTCTGCCTTCAGCTCAGGTCGTGATCCCAGGGTTCTGGGATTGAGCCCCATGTCAGGCTCCCTGATCAGCGGGGAGTCTGCTTCTCCCTCTGCCTCTGCCCTTCCCCCTGTTTGTGTTTTCTCTTGCTCACTCTCTCTTGCTCGCTCTGTCTCTCTCAAATAAACAAGATCTTGGGATGTCTGGGTGGCTCAGTCGTTAAGCGTCTGCCTTTGGCTCAGGTCATGATCCCAGGGTCCTGGGATGGAGGCCAGCATCGGCGGCATCATCGGGCTCCTTGCTCAGCAGGGAGCCTGCTTCTCCCTCTGCCTACAGCTTCCCCTGCTTGTGCTCTCTCTCTCTCTCTCTCTCTCCACCCCCCCGCCCCGTCAAATAAATAACTAAAATATTTTCAAAAATAAATAAATAAAATCTTAAAAAAAAAAATCTTACAGACATGACCACGCTTCCTACCCAAAAAACAAGATCTATGGTTTGACAGATTTTTTTTTGGTATGGCTATGACTGTAATAGGCAATCTAAGAAATGTAATTTGGATGCCAAAATATTAAAATTCCTGGGATATTTTCTTGGATCAATTGGATAACAAGACAGAATATTTTTGAGTATATCTGTCCTGGAAAATCTAAAATGTATAGTAATACAGTCTATCAATCTGTCCCACACTGTGGTTGACAGTAGAAACTGGCATCTTGCAGATGAAATACAGTATAGCAACAGGTATTCAGCCATTCATTCAACAATTATTTATTGAGTTGCATAATGTGTGCTGGCCTGGGTTCTAGGACTTGGATATATAACAGTGAATGAACAGTAAAATGCCCTGACCTCACAGCTGAGTAATGCAGCTAATTATAACCACTGACTCAGTACTTTCACTTCTAGAAATTATTTCTAAAGAAGTAATCATGAATATACAAATGATTTAGTTATAAAGATGATTATCATGTTGGATTTTTAATAGTAAGAAACTTAAAGTAGCCTAAGTGTCCAGCAAATCATGATACAGCTCTATAAAACAATACCAGGGTCATTAAAACAATGTTAGAAAAGAACATTAAAGCAGAATAATGATATTCACAATCATTATCAACTTATAAAACAGGCTACAACTGCTCAGAGCCATGAGAAAACTTTACGGGGTTGTTCTAGAACCTAATTTTGATGGTAGTTGCACAAATATAGATTTTTATGAAAATGTATCAAACCATACACTTAAGATGGATGAATTTAATTGTATGTAAACTAAACCTCAATCAAGCTGTGAAAAAAAGGGCATAACGCAGTTTTGAAACTATTTTAATGTAAAAGTTACTTCTATAAGTCAATTAGAAAAAAAGACTGGAAACATATAAACCAAAGTGTTTAATGGATTAAATTAAGGATGGAATGGGGTAGTTTCTTTTTTTCTTTTGTCTAAATGTTCTACAATAAACACATTTATTTTGCAATAAGAAAAAAACCACGAAGTCTGTTTAAAGTTGTTAAACCAGCGTATTCAATTCTCTAGGGCTGCTGCATGTTCCGTGAAACAAATTAGGACACCCTTCCCCCACCTTTCAGTTCCAGAGCACATGCTTACACAGACCAGAATTTCCACTGATCGGAACTGAAAGAAAGGCATGAAATAATTAACTACCCATGTCCCAGGTTGACACCCAAGGCAGTAGTCCAGACTGAGAGTTGTTAACTTTTTCAGGCTTTGAACCCATGCCACCCAGCTAGAAAAGCTCTTGAAGCTCACCAGCAGAGGGACCCTTAGGTCCCCTGAAAAGTATTGCTGAAGATACAGTCCAATATATAGTCTGATACTACAAAGGACTCACAGCCATGTCTTCCAAATTTCTTCAGAAAAATGATTTTAGGTGCTTCAAAAGATGAAGAAAAATGAGTTGTACAGGTCAACCAAAGATAATTGTATAAAAATTAAGTTTAGGATACTTTTATCACATTTCATCAAAAGGGACCAAGTTGTTTGACATTTTCAATGACTAATTATTGGAACTAACATAATAAGTGACTTCAGGGGAAAACAGAGAGTGAGCTCTATGCAAGGAAATATGCGGTAGGACTGCTGATTAGGAGCATTAATAGTTTTTGGTGTGGGGAGAAAAAAGCATGCGGAAGAGAGAACAAGATGCCAAGAATAAATATAAACCAACCACTATATCAAACAACTGGCCTTGAGAAAAGATAAAAATCCTTGTACTTGTTTTTTGGAAAGGAGGTTTTGTTCAAAATGTTTCAAAAGACCGTGAGAATGGCAAACGTGTTTTCGAATAAAGTACAAGTTCTTTATTACCTTATTTTTTCGATTCACTCATGTATTTTTCTTTATGATTGAGGGTTTAAGGCTTGTTTCCATTTCTTTTCTGAGAAAGATACAGAATCTCTCATAGCTCCCTTCAGTTTTGCCTATGGAAAGAATGTTCAATGAAGTAAATGATTACTGGTTACCAGTGGGCTCTGTCTAGTACTGCACCACTTAAATAACTAATTAACCATTACCTGAACTCCTTCCAAATGGTAGTCCTTACTCGCCTGGAACTCTTCTCAACTAAACCTTATATCAACAGGATACTTCCTTCTAGATTATTTTGAGAATCAGTTTATAGTAATTATTGAAACAGAAATGTAAGGCTGAAAATGTATTAATATAACAAACTTTATGTGTTGTATTACAGTCCTGATTGTGTGAACAAGCTCAGGTATGGATAATTCCAAAAAGTACGTGGTTATAAATTATGTAATTATAGGGGCACCTGGGTGGCTCAGTGCGTTAAGCATCTGCCTTCGGATCAGTGGGATCCAGCGGACTAGAGCTCCCTGCTCGGTGGGGAGCCTGCTTCTCCCTCTGCTGCTCCCCCTTCTTGTGTGCTCTCTCTCTCTGACAAATTCTTAAAAAAAAAAAAAAAAACATAGTTTAAAAATTATATAATTAGGGCGCCTGGGTGGCTCAGTGGGTTAAGCGTCTGCCTTCGGCTCAGGTCATGATCCTGGAGTCCCAGGATCAAGTCCCGCATCGGGCTCCCTGCTCAGCGCGGAGTCTGCTTCTCCCTCTGACCCTCTTCCCTCTCGTGCTATCTCTCATTCTCTCTCTCAAATAAATAAATAAAATCTTAAAAATAAATAAAAATAAAAATTATATAATTATATAAATTAACCTCATGTTCTCAGAATTCATTCCATATCCCCCTACCCAGAAAAATAGTATTCTTTTATTCTTTTTCATAGCTTTTCACACTATGAAGAGCCCACTACAGAAGCTGGAAAACTGCTTATTTCCTCAGCCAGCTTGCTATCTTCCTCAAATTCTTCTGCCATCAGGTCTAAAGGGAACTAGGCACCTTAATTCTCAAAGTGATTCAAGATTTTTCCTGTCTTAAAACTTGAGGGAGGGCGCCTGGGTGGCTCAGTCGTTAAGCGTCTGCCTTTGGCTCAGGTCATGGTCCCAGGGTCCTGGGATCGAGTCCCGCACCGGGCTCCCCGCTAAGCAGGAAGCCTGCTTCTCCCTCTCCCACTCCCCCTGCTTGTGTTCCCTCTCTCGCTGTGTCTCTGTCAAAAAAAATAAATAAAATCTTAAAAAAAAAAAAAAAACTTGAGGGAAACTGGGAAACCTGTTAGACGACCCCAGTATAGAAAGGAGGCTGAAGCGTAATGTCTCCCACTTTTTTTTAAGATTAAAAAATATATATATTTATTCATTTGACAGAGATAGAGAGAGAGCATGAGCAGGGAGAGAGGCAGAAGCGGGCTCCCTGCTGAGCCAGGAGCCCGATGCTAGGACCCCCGGGATCATGACCTGAGTAGAAGGCAGACGCTTAACCATCTGAGCTACCCAGGAGCCCCTTTTTTAAGATTTTATTTATTTATTTGTGAGAAGGAGAGCATGAGCACAAGCAGGAGGGAGAGCAGCAGGCAGAAGCAGGCTCCATGAGGGACTCGAGCGGGGAGCTCCACGTGGGACTCGATCCCAAGACCCTGGGATCATGACCTGAGCCGAAGGCAGACGCTTAACTCACTGAGCCACCCAGGGATCCCTGTCTCCCACTTTCCTGCGGGCCTACACGGCCACCGGCGCCTTTTGCCGACAGAGGAAAAGCCAGCTCAGAGAAACTCTGTGGGCGAGCGCTCCTTACACGGAGAGCACTTCCCCAACTTAGGGACCGCCCCTATGGGGCGGAGC